ATGATCACGTATACATTTGTTTTAAGAAATGAAAAGCATCACAATGAAAGTAAATTAATTGCATATGAATTGAGATTATAATTCACTATTTAAGATAAAGTAGCTGGTACCAAAATATTAGAGATTAATAAAACCAATACGATAAGACCACTTGGTTAAGTCAACTTCCCTAAAATCTCTCCCTCTATTGTAGTTTAAGTTCTTACTTATCCATAAGAATCATTTTTTATCATTTTTCTCTTCTTCGTTAGGCCATATACTTTTTTATTGTGTTTTATATTTATGTTTTTAATTTGTCCTCATTATTATCATTTAATTTAATTTATATTTTGATATATTATATCACAAGGGATATGTATTTTAAGATAAGCTCAAATTATTCACTTTTAAAATAAATTTAATTTTTTGATTTTTTTTTTCAAATATTATTCTCTTTAATTTATTCTAACATGATAAAATAGCGTTTTTTTATTATTAACATCGAAAATATGATCTTTTACAGTATTTTAGTTTTTGTTAAAACAAATTATTATTATTTAATTATAATGATATTTTTCTTATATATTTTTATTTTAAAACATTCTCAAATTAAAAAACAAAGTGCAGCGCAAGGAAAATTTGTTAATTAGGTTAAATTTATGTTTGAATATATAATGTAAAGCTACGTGTCAAAAAGGTACTAAAAGGTTACAAGAGCACAAATAACGTTGACATGTACTTACAAAAAAAGAAAGCTATCTTCACTTGGATATGCCGACCAATATATACTCAATTATTGTTTGAGCATTCAATACCTTAGAGCTTACACTTTTTGTTCGTTAAGAAGTTTTATTATAGTTGGTGGGGTTTAGTTAAACTGTTACACGCACACCTTCACCTAATTTCTTCATTCTCATCCTCCAAAAGAAAAAACCATTCTTGAGGCTTTGAACTACGAAGATGCTCATGATGGAGTAGCTTAAAAGTAACTCCTAACCATATTTAAGACTTGTATAGAATATGTGCATGGAATTGGTGGTGCATGTTCTTCAATGCTTCAAAGGCAACCACATGACAATGACTCAAACAAAATGATGGTGGGTGTTATAGAAATGGACGACCACAACTAATCATCGTAGAGATATATTCAATAATCAATCATATGAATATGAAGGAATGTCTGCAAAAAGAAACTTCCCACAAATAACCCATTTCCTCAATATGTAACTTATAATAGAGATACAGGGTTGTACCCTTTTTATTATAATCCGATACTCTGTCTGCTATAGACATTGGTCATACGATGATTTTTCAAAACAAAAAAAGCATTCTTCCTGTTTTTATAATTATTATAAACTTCTGTAGGAGTTAAGGCTAGTTAAAAGAACATTTCTAAATAGTAATTTAGGGTTGGCTTGGCTTTTCTTTTCTTTTTTTCCCTTAAGACGGTTTTAACTAAAATTATGTTTAAAAACATAATAATTAAGTCGGGTTTTAAAAAGGTAAAAAAGATTGGTAAAAATATGTTGTTTCATTGTTAAACATAAAATACTAGATAGTTGCTTATTTAACTAACTAAAAACGTTGTTCTGACTGGGTTGCACCGTTGCAGGTAATAATCTTTTTGTGATAAGCATTTTTATATATATATATTTTCCTTTTAACGAAGGTGTTGAAAAAATGATTGTTCTGTCTCATCTATCTTCTATGAATATGTGGCTTTAGTTTATATTGTTCAAGTTATATGAGTATTGATATTCATTATTCAACCAAATGCGAAGGTATCGTAGTAATTACTTTTGCATTTTTCCCTATATTTGCGAATTGTAGCATCGTATTTATTATACTCTCCGAAATTGGGCTTCTGAATACTCTCTTCCCCCCAACCCCCAAAAATAAATAAATAACGCATGATTTTGATCATGTTGGTTTTTTTCGCATACATGACTATTAAATATTTTAAAAACTGATTAGGGGCTATGATGTGATTCCCTCACTCAATATAAGCTATAACACGTCGTTCCATAGACAACATATAATGTCAATGCAAAATTAAAAACTATTAATATTTTTCATGAATATATGAAAAAAAGAAGAAAACACAAATGATTAAAAGAAGGGTCTTAAGTGCTCTTAAGTATTAAAGTAAATGTTTTTAATTACTGAAAAGCATGTATTCTTTTATCTAATAGGTTTTATTAAATTTTTATTTTCTTTCTTTAATTAGTGTAGACTCTCAGTGACTTTCTTCTATTAACAAACACAAATTTCCTTTGTAGTTGTAAAAGTATAAAATTATCACGAAAATTTTTAGAATGCTCCTTCTTTATTTTGGCAGGGCGACACAACATTAAATTAATTTGCAATATTGATTATTTGAATTCAATTTTTTTTTCATTTTTATTATAGCATCTTTTTGGTTTTGTTTTTAAAGCAACAATTGTTTTTTATAGGTAAAAATTTATTATACCACGTACAGGGACATAGGGATAAGGATGATGGATAAGGGTGAGGAAAGCAACAGGCAGCTGATTCAGTGTTTGAAGGCCAACTATGGCATATCATGCTCAAGAAGAGTTGTATGCATTAGGGCATTAATGAGATGGGTCAAGAAATGTTATACTTTCCCTTTATTTAATTCTAAATTTTTTTAAACTTTGAAGTCAACTTTAGATTCAAAGAAATCTAATAACAATGTACAACTTTAATTAACAATGAGTTTAAATAGAATAAGATGGTTGGCTTGAAGTGAGTTAAATGAAATCATAAAGTGATTTAAATTATCCTAACTTATTTAATTAATCAATTATCATTTTTAATTTGAACCAATTCTTCCGTACACTGAGACATCACCACAAAATATTATAGTTTTTTGGTAGTTACAAAAAAAAAAGGGTTACATACTAAAATGCTCAACACATCATAATCTATAGAAATATGTACACATATGGACCAAAACATGATATCAACTTATACTTGAATAACAATCTCTAACAGATCATGCACACTTCGCTGTCTTGTAAGTAAAATATGTAGAAAACTGAATACAAGAGATAACAAGTTTGACTGAAGTCAAGCATCAAACTAAAATTAACACTAGATTTTATCTCTCAAGTGAAATACACATTTCACTGTATACAAGTTCCACGAATTATGTAAACCGGAAGGGAATCCATCTTCCCAGAAAAGTGAGGTTGGTTACATAGTACTGACGCATCATTTAGTATGCCAACTAGTGCGGCATTTTATGCTAAATGCTGCTTCGTTTCTGCTGCCTTTAAATTGTAAGCCCCACTTCTGACGTCTCCTTTCCCTCTTTTTTTTCCACCTCCCGAATTCATTGAGTTCTCGATTCTTTCCTATAAAAAGAAAGTGTTATAGTATAGTATTTATATCACTCTAATTACATTAATATTTTCAAATCTACTTCAAAACAAATCGTTGCATTGTTATTTTCCTTGTTTAAACTAAACTTCAAGGGCAAATAAAAATCGGATGACACTGAAATAATTAATTGTCAGTACAAGATCTAACTTTTTTTAAAGAATAACTCACATCTGCATGTCAGAAAATCGATAACAATATTGTAACAGTAATTAACTATCTAATCAAATTAAGTTGTAAGTCTGAACTCTAGTGGCAACTTTGTTTCTCCAAGGCGAAGTTTATGGTATATTTTAGTTTAACTAAGTGCACGTACACGTGGAGTAATTCAAGTTCTGACGTCAGGATGAAGAAGTTGAAAGAAAGAAAAGTGTGAAAAGGGTATATAATTAAATAAGATTAAACTGAAACATATGAGTGAGTGGATTAGTATAAGATCAAAATATGCGAAACAAGAAAATGGTTTAGTTCTATGCTTGTATATATAGATATACGTACCTAATTGAAAGTTGCAACATGATACAGGCTAGCAAACAATACACGTGATGCATGGGGTGGGGACCTGAAGAAAACCCCACGGGCAGATAACATCACGCGGAGGTGGCATAGTAATGACAGGACAGGTAGGTGCATTTGCATGGCCATGTTCTCATGCCCCCACCATTTTTCTACCATCTATATTTATGGACTCAGTGCCCCATTCCACAATACAATCAGTCCCACTTCATTTATGTTAATTTTATTCTCTAATCTCAGCGATTAATAAAGATTTGCAGCTCCCAACAAGGAAGGAACAAAACAACATGTACCCATGTGACTTGGGTGTGGGAATCCGGAAGCAATAACCAAAAACTGCCAAAACCGGAGCAGTACTTTCTAGCTGTAGTGAATCCATTCTGTGACACTTACAATGTTGAGAATTTTCTCTTTTTCGATCTTCAATTATCTAACCTATGCCTATATGATTGATGAAGTGCGGAAAAACGGCGTAATTAGTTCTTCTTAACTTCCAAAGTTGCTCTCTGTACACCTTTTTATTGACACCCTGTTATCGCCCTATTTCAAGGTTCAGTATCTTTCGTGATGTCAGATGTGAGGTCAAAGATACTATTTTTCCCATACACATATATACCCATATAAATCGAAATGTATTTTCTCGTTTAATCTTTACATAATAATTAAAGCCATATACGAAAAAGAAATAAGTATAAAAACCTTAAAACAAACTTTATAAAATTTGAGCGTACTTAAAAATGTTGTGAGAGACAAGGAGGAAAGGCTAAAATGTCCAAACTGCATAAAGCCACAGTCCCATCTTCCATTTCACTCTCACGTGGACTTCTGCTTAATTCTCTTGGTCATTTTGCACACTTTGACTCGTGTCATTTTTCTCACTAACCCGCCTTACTTGTTTCCCTTATTTTACTCTCTACTAATATCCACCATCATAAAACCGTCAATTTTTTCAAAAAAAGAAAAAGGACCACCAACGTAATAATACTAGCAAACAAAAAGAAAAGCAACTTGTCTCCATCAACCTCACCAGCATAGCATCCCAACTCGATTGTGGATGCATTCATTCATTCATCCTTCCTTCCTCTCTCTCCTTTTCACCACTTAACCAAACTCATCTCATGAATTCTCAAATTGCCTTTAAAAGTATTCCCTTTTAGTTTAAGTTTTACCGCTCCCATTTTAATACTCTTTCTCACATCGCGCACATTCAGATCCTTTTAACGCCAACCCATTATTGCCTTTTCGTTAATTACGGCAATGACTCGCCTATTTCGATCCAAATCTTGCGGACTGGTCGAGTTCAACGCTGCTCCGCCGAGTCCACTTTTCCACGATGTGAAGGATGAGGAAGAAGAAGAAGAAGAAGAAGAATTGGACAGTGATGAAGAAGAAGAAGATGACGATGAAGAGGATGATTCGAGCAACCCGGTTTCAACGCCGTTCATCAATCAAGGATCAAAAGTTGATAACAAAGGTTGGCGTGGACATGGGTGCGAGAACCACAATCAGAACCAGTTTGCAATATTGGATATTGTGGTGGCTGCGCTGAAGAAGTCACTGGTCACTTGCAGTGTGGAGAGAGAGGACGTTTCTGCCCTGGATATTAGCTGGCCCACAGAGGTTCGCCATGTCTCGCATGTTACCTTTGATAGGTTCAATGGCTTTCTCGGTTTGCCCTCTGAACTCGAGCCAGAGGTTCCCAAGAGAGTCCCTAGTGCCAGGTCAACTCTCTTCTTCTTTACCAATCTTAGTTGTTGCTAATGTATTAACACTAACAGAACATTAAATTGGGTAGTTGAAGTAGCGCTAAAGGTTCTGTTTTGTTGACTTTTTTCTGGTTCAGATCAGAGGTGTTGTTTTGTAATTTGCTTACGAGTTGATGCAATTGTTTTTTCAGTGCATGAATAAGGTGGTAAATTTGTCATGGTCTGGAAGTAGCTTCAATTAGGACTGCATCTTTGTGTGTTGGCTGATTCCGAAATGTTTGTAATTTTGCATCCACCTGGGTGTTCTGAAGCTGGGTAGATGATGTACGGTGGTTTTGTGTTAGAGTTGCAAATGCTTAAATCTTTTATGAACTTTGGTTTCTAAAATTGAGATGGCCCTGGACATTTCATCATCCTTTCCCAGCATAGGTTTCAATTTTATTTTTTTTTGTGACAAGTTCATAGGTTTTAAATTTCAGTGCTGGTTAGGCTTAATGAGAGAGAAACATGGTCACATTTATGTTTGATTAAATGAAAGGTTTGGTGATATAAAAAATAAAAACAGTTGTGTCTAGATCTGTGGTTGTAAACACAATGCAACTTAGAAAGTTTCTTTGATTGGTCTTGTGGTTTTGGTTTGTTAGTCTCTTTTCTGCCTCTTCCCTGCTCACTGAGGAGAGAAAGTTTGTTTGAGTGGTTTACCTTGCATAAATGCACTCTTGTCTTCCTCTCTTTTTCTTTCTATCCATATCTTTGACTGAGATAGTGTGATTATGCAGCGCAAAGGTATTCGGAGTTTCTGCAAAGTCAATGCAGTGCTCTTATGATGAAAGGGGGAACAGTGTCCCAACGATTCTGCTGATGATGCAAAAGCGATTGTATTCAGAGGGAGGCCTTAAAGTATGTTCTGTTCGTGTAGAGTTACTAGTTTTTAAAAGCATTTAGTTGATTTTACTTACCGTAATTGCTCTGGTAGCCACAGGATACCGTTACGCTGGCTGAATTATGGTGTTATTATAATGTTTAATTATTCATTAAATAAAATCAACTATCAATGAAAATTTACCTTCCGTGAGTATTGGTTAAATTCCTTTTACTTTCGTATTTGAGGCCTAATTTCATTCTTGCTTGCCATGCCTGAAGGCAGAAGGAATATTCCGAATTAATGCTGATAACAGCCAAGAAGAGTTTGTGCGTAATCAGCTAAATAGAGGTCTAGTGCCACGTGGAATCGACGTTCACTGTTTATCTGGTTTAATAAAGGTATATCCTAAATTCTTAATTTAACCTTTTTATTATGCTTAAATTAATTGAACTCTAAATTCCCATTATATGCTTAAATTAGTACATGATTTCATACTGTTCTTGGAACATTTGAAAACCCTTTTTTAAATATAATTTATGTCTTGCAGGCTTGGTTTAGAGAGCTTCCAACAGGGGTACTTGATTCTCTGACCCCGGAACAGGTCATGCATTGCAACACAGAAGAGGATTGCACCAATCTTATGAAGTTGCTTCCTTCAACTGAATCTGCATTGCTAGACTGGGCAATCAATTTGATGGCAGACGTTGTTGAGCAAGAACAGTTCAACAAAATGAATGCTCGCAATATTGCCATGGTTTTTGCGCCCAACATGACGCAGGTTTGTTAACAATATAACCAACCATGTATGCTTATGAGCGAAAATCGTTAATAAAAAGTCTGTTAATTTTTAATGTAGCTATGAATAAAGCTGGTAGAGGATATATAAACGCTTGTTTCATGGTGTCATGCAGATGGCAGACCCTTTGACTGCATTGATTCATGCAGTGCAAGTGATGAACTTCCTCAAGACATTGATTTTGAAGACGCTTAGAGAAAGAGATGAATCAATTGCCAAGGCGAGACAGCTTTCATCACTCTTTGATTCAGCCTCCTGCAAAGGTGACTCCCATCCTTCAAAGCTTAGCAACAGGGAGGAATCTTGTGAGCAAAGTGAGGGTACTTGTGCCACAAAGCCAACCATCAAAAGCAAGTTCACGAGGACTTCAACTTTGGGAAGAATAGAGTGGTGTATTGAAGAGAAACTTTGGAGCACTGAGGATAAGGGTAATGGAGGAGGGGAATTTGAGTGTGCTTCAGGTGGTAACTCACCTTCTAGATATGAGAATGGTCCATTAGAGAATAGATATAGAGGTATATATGACAATGAACATTGGGTGAGATTGAGAAAAGGAGTGCGCAGGCTATGCAGGCACCCAGTGTTTCAATTGAGCAAGCCAACTAAGAAGCGTGAAAGTCTTGGTATTGTAAATACTAGGGAAGCAAATGGAGAGGCTTGGGCCTAAAAACATGCACTGCATGCACGCTCTGGTTTTATGGTTCATATATATATATATATGATTGAGATGTATAGATGTTTGCTTGAGATTGTATGTAGGATAACCTTAGTTGGTACTTGCTGCTTGGTCTCTTAGTAGAATGCAAGTTCGTTCAGATGTTTCAAGGAGTCAACAAAATCTCGTTCGAATGATTACCCCTATAAAGAATTTTGTTGGATCAAGTATTCAGTATTTACCATTGCACAGATAGATACGCCTATTGGGACTTGTTTGTAGTACTAACAAAGAAAGAAGGCACGCAATTTCTAAAGTAATATTACCGATTAAAATCAAGCATGATGTGAACCCCAATAACATATCAATGGTAATAAGTGACAGACAAATTCGCTGTGACTAAATTCATTTAGGGCTTAGTTTTTTAAAATTGAAATATTAAGTACTGTTTAATAAAAATGTTTACTTAAAATTAATTTATATCAAACAGTCACTTAATCTTTTATCAAACAAATGCAGAGTACAACTTTATTTTCTTATTATCACACATTTGTTTTTTTTTTGGTCAAGATGATCCTGTATTCACATGACTTGGATCCTCTAATGACGACAAAAAAGGACTCGGATACACTTAACTTGGAACCCACTCCTCGTTTTTTGTTCTCTTCTTGTGAGTTGTGGACACTGAAATCGCTAGACACAATCTTCTCTCTGCGTTTAAAACATGTTACGCGAAACTGACGACCTGTTTGGTTACAAAAAATGTGTTATATTTTTTATTTCCTATTTTAATAATTAAATAAATGTTACTTTACATTTATTTTTTTTATTCTTGTTAAAAAGTTTGCATAAAAACTTGTTTTAAATATTTTTTCGTACAAACTTTTAGAAACAAGAACAATGTGAAAACAAAATAATAAGTTTGTAATTATTTATAAAAAAAAAAAGAAATTAACAAAAAAAAAGGCATTTTCTCATATTAAATAGACGTCAATTTTTTCTTGCTTGTATTTAAGGATCGAAATAACTCTTCCACTATTTTGATTTCTTGTTCATTTACTTGAAAATAGGCTCTTGAATTTTGCTGGTAAACAATTGACCGTTTGAGAGGGCTTTGTCTTGACCCCAAAAATTTAACCATTATTTTGTTTTGTATGAAGGTATTTTATAGATAAAGTGAAACTGTACCAAGGAGCGGTTAATTATTTTAAATATAGTATATACTAAAATATATTATATTTTTTTAAAAATTACAAAATATAATATTAAAAAACCATCAATGACTAGAGCAAGTCCAAAAATTTAAAGATGGAAAACAAAAATTTATAAAATATTAAAAATCACTAATAATTTTCAAAAAAAATAAAAATTATTACAAATAAAATTCATCGATAACAATTTTTAAAAAATTAAAATATCAATAAACATCATGGACAATTTTTTTTTTATATAAAAAATCATCATTATCAATTTTAAATTTTTTTCATTTTCATAATTTCTCTCAAACACCACATTTTAGCAATTTTACTTTTTTTTTCTCATAAAAAAGAGCCTCGCAGTTTGAATATTATAAAATAAAAGTAAACTGTAGAGTTCTATGGCATGTACAAGCAAGAAATTTAAGTTCTATATTTTAATGATTTATTATTAACTTGTAGTTTCAACATCTGAACACCGGCTCAAAAAAATATTTTGGCTTCAGATTGTTCTACAATATCAAGGCCGATTGAAAACTAAACATCCTGAACTGAATTCAGACCATCGGTTCAATCCACTGCAAATTATGAATCAACTTTGATGCCCAGTACAGATACACTTGCCCCAAATGCAAACATTTTTTTTTATATCAACACAATGCAGCAGACTTGTGGAAAACAAACATGCAATTTAGGCCACGACCCTAACAAGACAATTTCATCTTTTCACCTTATCACTTCATTATGTTTGTGGCACCGGCAGTTTGTTATAGTTGATACAAAACCGGCTGTATGCCAAGACCCTAACAACACAATTTCATTTACTGTTCTTTGCTTGACCTATCAAAGGTCATCAGATCACGCTAGTCCTACCTTTAAGAGAAGCCTACTATTAACAGACATATATCTTATGAAAGCTATGAGAAAGCAAGTCACTTTGTCCCTTCTGACCCCTTTAGATAAGATGATTCAACATCACCACTGTTCCGTGCAGCAGCTGAGTTGCTCTGGCCATCTCCACCAGCCTTCCCAGCCTCAGGAGCATCTTGCTTGCTTCCACCACGAGCATCATTTGGACCTGCAGATGAAGGTGGGCCACCACTGCTGCCACCTCCAAGGGCAGCCTCACTATGCATTAGATGCATGCCATTATTTATCCCTCCTCCAGATCTCAGTCCCATTTGCCCTTGGATGGCCTGGTGGTGTAGCTGCTGCTGTGCTTCCTGCATTTGATGGGGATTACCAAATTGCAATGGCATCTTTGGGGGGAAAATTCCTTGTTGCTGAGCCATTGCTGCAGCCTGAGGATGTTGCATATAGTATTCTGGTTGCATCGCAGGATGTGGGGTCATCTGCAAGTGTCCAAAATAAGGCAATTACAACAAAGCTAAAGGCAACTGATAGACTCCAAAGGACAAGCTATGCTCAATATTTACCTGCATGGCTGGCGTTTGTGGCTGGGCATCAGCAATTGCAGCTAAATACATTAAGTTCTTTTGAAGCTGAGCTTGGTACCTAAGACATCAAAGCATCACAAAACCGTTGCATAAAAATCTGTGCTAGGTACTCAATAAAACAATAGAAGCAAGAATGTGATGACAAACAGCCTTGCATAAAGATTTTAAGAAAGGCTTGGTTGAGAGGAAAGAAACATAGTCCAATGTTATTTATAACAAAGATATCCCAGCATCACAAACTACCCTTCATATAGATATGACTGAACAACTAAACGAGGTTAAAATGTCAACAACACCACACCTAAAGTTAACACAGTTGCACAGAAAAAAAAAAGGTTAAAATGCAGTGAACGATAAAAAATTATAGGATTGTGTGTCTATCAGCTGGTAATACTTAAATTGCCACCACCTAAAGTGAGTCTTTCTAAATACAACAAATGACTTCTCAATAATCATCAACAACAGGAAAAACAGCTATACCTTGAATTTACTAAGTGCAAATTATCTTCTTTTTTTCACACAAAAGCAGGAACTCTAAATATGTAGAATCTGCTACTTATACAGATATGCAAACTGTCAGGGATCAGGGGAGAATGTGTAAATTACCGACTTCTGACATGCCACTAATTAAATTTAGAACAAATGTCACCACAAATAAAAAATGCAGATACAACTAAGGTCACTTACTGAGCACATTCAGCAAGTTTCCCGAGGTTTTGATTGTCCAATATTGCCAGAATTAGCTTCTTGTTCTCATCAAGATACTGCATCATGTGCCATAAAAGGGTATTCAAATTAGACACCAGAATCTTCATTCTTAGTGCCTAACTGCCTATGTGGGTATATAACATGTAGATGATTGGAAGTAATAATCATCACAACCAGCTAACAAAAAGAAGATACAAATGGTGGGGAAAATTTTCGGTGATTTTTCAAAATAAATATTCAACGTAAAAGGACAAATGATCAATTTCATGCCATACATTTCTTGATGAATCCAGTATACTACAGAAAAATTTCAAGCACATTAGCACCATTCGTGTTCAACTGTTTATCTCCTCATTCCTCAGAGATTTCAGTATTTCAATTTCCAAGAATTCTGTACCATGGAGGATTCCAATAATTTCAGACACTATGCTGTTTATCCATGCAATGATAACTTGTATGAATATGAAAAATCAATTTACCTAGTCTAACAAGGTTTTCATAAGAAAATTTATGCCCACAAACTGTTACAGCCCAGCCAACAGTTCTCTCATTCCGGTGTTTATTAGATTTCAAATTTAATCCATAATGCCAAGTCAACAGGGAAAGCAAAGCTCAAAATTATTTGCACCCAACAAAGTACAAGCTAAAAGTTGGAAAACTCCCCAAAACTGCTCTCATTCACTCTGCAACTTACAAATAATTTAAAGGCATGATACGGCCAACTGCATTTTAATGCTAAGGCCATCTTTATTGATCACAATGCCCCCACACACGGTACACAAGATTTACACATTCCAAGAAACTGAAATATAAAAACATCTCACGGAAAGAGAGAAAACGATGAGCTGTAACTTAAGGAGGTAAAAAATAATTTTGCCAACTTCCAATAACATTTCGCATAAGTAGTCTGCAGACACAACTGTTTACCTAAACATTCACTATTTAAAAAAAAAAAAATGCTCTCAGTTCCTACTTCCCAAACCCTGTTATGTTTCTACTTTGTTGAAGCAGAAGAAGAACAAGTATAGCTCGTTACCACTGCCCAAAAGACGCCACGAAGTTTATACTGTACCTTAAGAAGGGAACTGAGTGATTAAAAGTATAGCACACCTTTTGAATTTGCTCGGTGGTTATGTTTGTGGGTGGGAATGAAGGCATCATCGGAATCATTTGCGGTGTCTGCTGCATCTTATTCGGCTGAAACGAATAAATAGCACAAACCCTAATTCCTCCAAAATAAGAACAACCAGAACTAGCTGTTAATAAACACAACTGTAAGCATTCTACACAAACTCTTTCAGGGAAAAGACAATAACTTGGGGAGAAAGAGGACCTGGGTCTGGGAGTAGGTGAGGTGAGTTACTGAGTTTGGGATGAGATTCTCTTGTCAAGATCTTTCAGATGTTGTGCCCACAGGGTTTCTGGAATTCAAGAGAAAGCAAAAACATCAACATAAATACAAGGAATATTTTAAGGTACTTTGATTCAAAATCTTATTTAATCAAACGAAAGAAAACTTTCTAGATTTGGTGTGGTTGGGGCAAGGGTAGTTCCGAACTTTTACCAAATGACGTGAACGATCACAAGAAGCGACCAGTGAGCAAAGAACAAGCGATGAGCAAAGGTTAAGGGCTCTTCCTCTCTGCTATGCGTTCGTGAGTTGGTGGGGGGCGGCGCCAGGTTTCCAGATTAGAGAGAATAGGGTTTTTCGGGACTTTTAGTTTTTTCGGAGAGTGTTTTAATTTTTCAAAAATATATTTTGTTAATATATTATTATATTTATCTATCATTTAGACAATTAACACATGACTAAACCGTCATCTTTTTAGTTTTAAAACTTTCAAAAGTATAATTTGTATGGTAGCTCATAAATTAAGTGAATATTTTATTTTTTTATATATAAAATAATTATTATCATTAATTTTATATTAAATAAATAATAGAGGTTAATAGTTTATTTTAAAATATATAAATATTTTTAATCTCTAAAACATAAGAAAAATCATTAATTTAAAAAAATATAAAATATTCTTTAAAATTTATAAATATTTGACTTATTTTTATGTCTATTATTTTAATTTTTGTAATCATATAATATTAACAACAACATATTATGATAAGTAATATGTATTAATTGTGTAGCAAAAATGATATTATATGTGTGTGACATGTGTTATTATTTTACTTTAATTTTTAAGATTATTATTATAAGACATTATCACATGATAAAATTTAAGATTTTTTGTTATTTTAAAGTGAGTTTATTTCTAAAATTTATTGTATACACAAAACTTCAAACTTAAAATTTTATTTAAATAATAGTAAATTGAAGTTAAATTTTTTTTCTTTTTATATATGACTAATCATTATACATAAAAATTATTAGAGATCTTAATCTCCAAAGCAATACTATAAAAGGTTAATAAATTATTAAAAGGTGGATATAATATTTTGTATTGGAGGGATTTGAATCGCATATGCAAAAGAAAATTGAGAAAGATTTATTATTAAATTCATAACCTAGGTCAAGATCTTTACTTTGTGCAGTTGTGTATTAAACATTTAGGTGGTTGTGTTAGTATTTTTTATTACGCAGTCATATATATTATTATACATTAGCATTCTATTATAGTAGGTTGAAGATATATTATTTGAAGAACTATAATAATAAATAAAAATAATAATTAAGAATTAATATAACATTTTAAAAAATTTAAATACTAAAATGTAAAAATGTTACTATTTTAGAAATTAAAATGAGAGTTTAATAATAAATATACGTATGAATTTATTTTTAAGATAATGTTTACTATAATTTGATTTTTAAATAATTAAAAATTGTAAATAATAAATGATAGGTCAAGGATGTGAAGTAATCAATCATTTCAAAAGGAATTCACGGAATTACTATTCATGCTAAAACAATGTTGTTAGCAAGTGGTTGGGACCTTATAATTATGTGCCAAAAATTATCTTTATTTCTACTGATTCCAATTAATGCAAATGCATGTATTTTAAGATTTGCTTTGAAAATCAAATGCACCCATGTGCTTATTATTATTTTAAATTAGGGTGTTAATGATTGAGTTTATATATAAAGAGTAATAAATTATTCTTAAAAAAATTTACTATATTAAAAATATGATAAATATTATTAATAAAAAGTTATTATTATTATTATTATTATTATTTTCTAAATCACAGTATTCTCTATTCTGGACGCTGAAACTTGAAATTAAATCTTAAATTAAATTTTCCACGTGTTGAATAATATTAATTATTTATTATTTAAACTCAATTTTAGAAATTAAAGTCAATAAATTTATTAAAAAATAATAAGTTGTCTTATTTTGCCTTGCACAAAACGTGGACTACCTTCAAAGTGGTGCACACTGAACCATTTAACACTAGTTGCAAGATATATTGATAAAAAAAATTAAATTAAAAATTTTAAATTAGATATAGCTCTATATTTTATTTCTTAAATTGATGCTTTAAAGAATGTATGATTTTTCACCTATTCAACTATTTTGAAAGAAGAAAAGTCAAGAAAGTCTATGAATTACAGTGGAAAGTTATTGGGTTATTACTGTCTTTCTTTAGTTGTCTTATATGAAAGTGTTTAATTATTATTTTTAGTTGTTGTTCATATTATTCTTTTAACTACGTCTAGTAAATTTTTTTTTTTAATTTGATGCAAGATTGAATAAAGAATAATTTTTTTATTAGAGCTCTTTTGTATATCTTTATTTTCCTTTCAAAGTTCCATTAATCAAAGAAAATATATTGAATTAATGACGTTTAACTAATCATAACCATTAATCAAAACTGCTTAATTAATTTTATTAAATAAATATTAAAAAAAATTGCAATGCAACTCTCCTTCACTGCACTCTCTGGAGGAATAGGTAGCAAACAATAGTGTTAGTCACTAAAGGGACCAATATGAGAAACTATGAGAATCTTGGACCATGATGAACAACTTTGGACATTGTACAATGCTCATGGTAAATTCCCAAATGATTGGACTGCAACTCATAAAATTTGATGTTTAGGGCCTAAGCTTTAGTTGGTTTATGAAAACCAACCAGCGACCCCAATGATTATCAACGCCATTGTTTTCAAATACATTGATTGAATTAGTTTCTGGTTGGAGAATCAAGATTCAAATGCGATGCGATGGACCAGACTTCCCTCAAATGATGCACTGAAGTTTATGTCACTGAATGCATATACCAGAATGGGACCCAAAAGTTTTAATCTCACTTGCTAACTGAGTGCATAAATCCAGTGCCGTATGCTTATGTAGCTCTGTATCTTATTTGTTATGGGGGACCATTATCAAGTTGCACAATTCAAAGGGTCCTACTCGTAGGATCAAGCCAGCATCTCCAAGGATACGTTCTTTCGTCCCTAGTAGATAACAGTTTAACTCATACTCGCCCGACCCAATTCCTTGTAATATTTTTCATGGTCATTCAATTCCAAATCTTCTAGCTTGTTCTAGTAGCATTATGATCAAACTGAACTTATTGTAACACCCAATCATTTTTTATTAGAATCTCTCGCATGCCGAAGCCTAATACACTATTAATTTCAGCATAGGATGCCAAACAATTAAAGGTTAGTTCATTGCCCATCAAGTGTGTGTTGATAATTAAAAAGAAAAAAAAAAGCATTATGAGATTTAATATCACAAGAAAGACAAAATTAAACAGCAGAAGAATAATATTGATGAACAATAAAAATGAACGATAAACACATTAAAGCTAACTTGATTATGTAAATGACAAAAATACAAATGTATAACTTCAACAACGATTACACACAGATTTGTAAAACTATTGTAAAACTTTGATGTGCAAATATTATGAGCGTTAATGTTTAGTCGTAACTCTTCAATAGTAAAATGATAACCTATTTATAAATGTCTTTTTTAACATACTCTTACATGTAAATTTAAATTACAACCATTTACACCACGTTCTTTGTAACTGTTATTGTTTGTCGTCCATAATTCTTGTCGTATGTCTTGATCTTTAGCTGACAGTAATTGTTAGTAAATACTGATAATCATTTTAAATTTATTTTAATAAACAGTTTTTTTCATTTTAAAATACTTTTATCACTTTGATCTTGAACTTAAAACTTTTAAAATACTTCAACTTTCTTTGAAGTAAAACAATTATCGACAAACTTTTAAAAGAATATGTCAAAACATTTTTTTTCAACCAATTTTGACACTCTTAAATTGTATCATAAAACTTGTCAAATCTACTTGAAACATTATGTTTTCAAGTCAAAAGTCAGATTTGTAACTATCTTTATAAAATTTGTCAAAAATTATATTTTCAACTAAGACTTTATGTTTTTTTTTTTTTTGTGTTCTTTTCCTTTTCTATAAAACTTCTCAAAAAGTAAAATCTCACGCTTACATGTTAGTTTTAGCTGAAACATGTAACTTAATTCATACAAGTAACAACTTTTTAAAAATAGATATCAAACCTCTTTTTTTTTTTAAAATGCCTTTAAACAATAAAATTACAACTTAAGAATTTTTTTTTTGAATACTATCATCTTTATAAAAATAAAGAGATATTTTATTCTCACAACACCTTTTATAAATAATTTCTATGTGTAATTTCATTTACTTATTACTCTATACATTAAAATTTAGAATGTATAAAGTCACTCGCATTAATTACACTTACTTATTACTGCACTTACTGATTACTGGGTGTATTAAATTTTGAAACATAAAAGCTTATTTTTATATGTGTAACTTCATCTACTTATATATATATATATATATATATATATATATATATATATATATGTAAAATTGACTACACCTACTTATTACAAGTGTATTAAAATTTGAAACATAAAAGCTTATTTCTATATGTCTAACTTCATCTACTTATTACTCAATATATTAAAATTCAAAATATATAAAGTCACTCGCATTGACTACACTTGCTTATTACTGCACCTACTTATTATTGGGTGTATTAAATTTTGAAACATAAAAGCTTATTTCTATATGCGTAACTTCATCTACTTATTATATATGTAAAATTGACTGCACCTACTTATTACTGGGTATATTAAATTTTGAAACATAAAAGCTTATTTCTATATGCGTAACTTCATCTACTTATTACTCTATACATTAAAATTCAGAATATATAAAGTCACTCGCATTGACTACACTTGCTTATTATTGCACTTACTTATTGCTGGGTGTATTAAATTTTGAAACATAAAAGCTTATTTCTATATGCGTAACTTCGTCTACTTATTACTCTATACATTAAAATTTAGAATGTATAAAGTTACTCGCATTGACTACACTTGCTTATTACTTTGTGCATTAAAATTCGAAACGTATAACTTACAAATTAAAATTATATTTTATTCACACTTATTATGTTTGAATTATAGGTGATAAATCAAATCAAATAATTAAACAAGAGTTTATGTATTCCATAGAATTCTTGAATATTTTAATGGATTTCCTTCCCATTGCTTGCAACTCAGATAAGGAATATCAATTATGCTACCTAAGAACATCAATCCTACATTAGGAATGTGCAGTAGAACAAGATTCCTTATCAAAGACAATAATTAAATTATGTTAGATTATATTTGACAAAATCTATATTTAATCATGGTCAATTATATGTTGCATTGTTTAAATAATATCAATAAAAGAAATAAAAATATTTCTTATTAAAGAAAATAACAAATATATAGAATATACAAAAAATATTATATAAAAAATATTTTATAATTTTTCTTAGTGTAATTATATTTAATATAATAATATTTTTTACTATATTTATATATTTTTATATTTTAAAATAAATTAATTTAATAAAAATAAAATAAACTCGTGCAACGCACGGGCATATTTACTAGTTACTAGTATTATTTTGTAGCTTTTTTAAGAAATGATATAAAAAAGAAAAAACTTTTATTTAACAAATTTATTCCATGAGAAATATTCACCATGTACCTTTTTAACGTGTCATTGATCAATGACTTAAGCTTCACAAGACTCTTAAGTTGGACTAATACCAACTAAACATAAAGTAAAACAAACCTCAATTAGTGAGTCTCACATGAAATGTGTACTAAAAACTTTTACCATAATTTAGCTAGAAGCTTGAGTTCGGCTAGAATCCTACATAACGCAATCACAAACACCAATTAATGACTACGAAACCCTCCCTTAAAATTTGCAAAAATAATGGCCAAGTACATTTCATCTACAATATGGACAAACATCCAATAAGAAATGTCTGATTAACCGATATTTCGTTTAACAAACAATGATGTTCACAGTTATGGCACATTCTACCTTAAAGAATGGATAGATATTTCAGACAGTCTATCTTCACCCTCTTTTTTTCGTTTATTAAAATCTCTCACATGTTAACTCACTTTCAGAAGTAAGTTAAAGCTTACTTCGTAGTTTAGACATTGTGAATTGATTATAATTAAAAAAAAAAAGATTAAACTAGTGTGTTTTAATAAATTCGTGATTTATTACCTTTTTATTTTTATTTTATACTAATAAATATTTGATGACCTAATATCTCACTTGATAAGAAACTTCACCGTTATGGCATCTTCTACTTTTTAAGGAAAGTTAAACAAGACAGTTCATCTTTATCTTTTTTGAATAACCTCTCACATGTTAAATCTTTTTTTATAGTTTAATTTAATGTTTTATTAACCTTAAGTTTTTAGAACTGAGCTTAAACATTTATAAATAAAAAAATTTTATATAAAAAATATATTTATTATATTAAAATTATAAAAAATAAAAATAAAAATTTCTCTTTTTTTATAAAATTTAACTATTATTAATTATTTATCCTCAATATTAAGAGATTAGATTAACAAAATAATATAATTTAATGCTCAACAATTAAGTTAAAATTTAATTCATAGTTCATAAAAGTATGAATTGATAATACAAAAAATTTTATCATACTAGTACATTTCAACATATCTAATCTGTAAATGTCTCGCTTGATAATTAAATTTGCCATTGTAGTATCATCTAACTTAAAATATCGTACTAATTCATCTTCACTCACTTATTATTGTGCATTAGAATTTCTCACATAAATCCAATTTCAACAATTGGTTTGATGCTCCATAGTTAAAGTCAAAGTTTAATTTACAATTCATTAAAATATCATTTGATAGTAAAAAGAGAAAAAGAAAATCATAATTTATTACGATTTTTAAAAAAAAATTTCAATGCAACATAACTCTTGACATACATTAGATGATCCAAGGTTTGGTAATTAATTAGACATCAAGAAAAATGAGAAAAAAATTATTTTATTTCATAGTTTTTATCAGTCAAATTTTACCACGTGTCAATTCTTTTATAAAAAAATATATGCTTTATGTTTCGATTGGTTGGGACTATAAAAGTTCTGGACTCTAAAAGTTTCGACTAAACTCTCACTCTAGTCCTTAAGAAAGTTTGAGTCCAGCATTTTAGTCTCTGAAACATTTAAAATATCACGTTAGTCTCCAACTTCTTTATCTGTCATTTATTTTAGTCCTTAACGTCAGACCCGTTAAGAAACTGTGACAGAAGACTGAGTTGTCACGTTAAGTGTTACGTCCTACGTCAGAATTTCACTTGGCAGAAAAGACATAATTTTTTGAAGCTAGCGTGACACTTTTAATTGTAAAACAGTGTCGTTCTGACTGAAGCCCTTTTTGCTTAAACTTAATGACATATTTCCTCATTTATGTCGAAGAAGAACCCTACCTTAAGTGCATGCAGAATCTCGCCCAAATTTTTATTCATAGTTATGTTTGGAGATGAAATATTTAAAAATTAAAGTTTGTTGTAGTAGAAGAAGAGTCAACAGATGGAGAATTCGATGAAAAAATATTTCTTAATTCATTGAGTCATTTTGTTTTGTTTTGGGGACAAAGAACCTAAGTAATGTTTTTGGGGACGAATAAGATAAGAAAATTAAATTTGTGGCTTTTAATTTTGCATGATTTTTGTTTTCTATTAGTTTGAAGATGATTTTTTTATTGATGGATCTGTGTATCAGCTCCTAGTAATGTTTTACTTTTTTCAGTTTTAGGTGTTTCGTAGGACTATGAGGACTTCAGACTGTTATGGTTATGATCTGTGTATTAGACCCTTGTTATGTCTACCCCATGAAGAATAAACTGGAAGGGAGTTCATTAGACAGGCAAGTGGCTCCAATATCTCAGATTTTTTTTTTTGGCCAGGGTCATTACGGTGGTTCACATGGTGATGAATCCTCAAAGTTTAGGAGGTAGTAAGGAACAGAGAAGTTCTGGTGGTGGCAGTGGTGGTAATTATCCAAATGTATAGTCAATGTTTGACAAATGAATCCTTAGATCAGAACAACACCTTTTCGCAGTTAAAAGTGTCACTCCAACTTTCAAAAACGACGTCGTTTCTGTTAAGTAAGATTCTGACGTAGCACTTAACATGATAACTCAACTTTTTGTCACTGTTTTTTAACGGGATCTGACGTCAAAAACTAAAATGAATGACAGAAAAAAAAGTTAGAGACTAATATGATATTTTAAATGTCTCAAAAATTAAAATGCTGAATTTAAACTCTCTCAAGAATTAAAGTGAGAGTTTAGTCAAAAAAAAAGATTAAAATAAATGATAGAGAAAAAAGTTATAGACTAACATAATATTTTAAATGTCTCAAAAACTAAAATACTGAATTTAAACTCTGAGAGTTTAGTCAAAAGTTTTACACTGTAAAATAATTTTTCTTAAATTGCACTCGTTGACAAGTGACCGATCAGTACATCCTATGTGGTCAACTAAATTCAAAATATTAATTAGAACAGTTGAACAAGGTCGGTGAGCTACATGCACTACATATTATAGCCGCAGCATGTAATTCTTCACGTGTTGTTTAGATGTCCTTGAAAAGGATTTAAAACTCGGACGCAAAAGGATTTGCAATTTCCAATTAGTACTTTCTTATTATCTGCAATACCCGTAATATTGGGGGGGCAATTCCATGTATATTTTGACTTCGATCAAATGTAATGGTCTGTTGGATAGTCATCGTGTGTTGATATTTCAACCGCATGCCATAATTTTGCTCCAACATTTAACTTTAGAAATACAATACAGTAGTTTTGGGCTGATTGAGGAATGAATTTGTAAAACTAGGTAGACTAGGTTACGTCATTTGAATATCATTTCGTTTGCCTAAACCACTTCTTCACCAACCTAAATAGACATAGCTCAGTTCAATCCAATTGCCTATATAACTCTATTGGAAAAGTCAAATAGTTTCTGAACTCCACCATCCATCACCAAACTTATTCGCATTTCTGGCTTCAGCCCAACAGTTGAATAATTTAGATCAGCTACTTCCATTTCCTATTACTGTTTTGTTTGGTTTTTATCTCCCCAACTTTCTCTAGCCTCTCGTTGTTTATCGTTTTAGGAAGAGATTAAAATGCACTCTTTTTGAAGAAAAACGTGGAAAGGAAAGAAATTGACGAGTCCCGTGAACAGCTAGATACACAACCCCTTAATTTTGTATCTCGTGTACATCTTTGGATAGTAGTGAGAAGACATATTGCCTCAATTCAAACACACACAAAAATAAATTTGGTAGTATTATCTTTTTAATTGCAAACCGTACTTTAGATATGTTGAGACTGAAGCTGATATTTATTTTGCAGTTTTTAAATGGGGTGGAGCTTTTGACAAGTTAGCACAAAACCATTAATTGGTCCTTGATGACCAGCCACCAACAACCACCGGCCTTCCATCAATTTTCCCGTCTTTCCCCATCTCCCTCTTATCTTGCTGGCTGCTACACGATGCCCCCAACATAGAGACCAATTTTTTTGGTTTGCATTTGCGTGCCCATAACCCAATTTCTATTTCAAATGCATACGCCAGATAACACTAGTGGAAAAAAGGACCCAAGACAGACAGACACACGGTGACACACCTTCTCATTAGGAGAAAATCCCACATGGTCAAAGTGCTTATCCACTGCCATTAACAAATATTAATTACAAAACCAAATATATAATCAAGTTAAGAGTATCATTAACACATACTGTATCACGAGCGTATAAGATACTGGTTTGAAAAAGAGAGGTTGGTTTTCCAAAAGTGGTTGAGCTATCCATCCCTTTTCGAAACTACTACTTCCCCCGAGATTAGATTAATTAACAATTCACTGTGAATAAAAGTAACAACACGAAAGTATTACTAGTATAATAGATTTCTTGCGGGGAACGGGGTGTTAAGTAACTAATCGCGTATTGGGCGTAAAGTTGAAGGGAAGGCGTAGCTAGCCAGCATAGTCGTTGCTTCCATTTCAGTTTCAGCATTTTGTTTAGTTTTGTTTTTTTCCTAGACAGCAATTATGGTTCAGCTTCCTCCAAACGCGAGTCTTCCCTGCTGTTTGCTTTATAAAACACCTCACACTCACCCTTCTCACAAACATCACAATCTATACAACTAGGAAATCTACAACCCCCTCTTCTCTTCTCCTCTCCTCTCAGACACAACACAAAACATAAGTTACAGAGAGGAAACTACTACTACCAACTTTAATTAAGCACCAAGTCCAAGAGGGAAAAATAATAATAAAAAAAAGGAATGGGTCGCAGTAGCATAGACATGGATAAGGAGAGATTGACGGCTGAGATGGACTTTAAGGACTCGTCCTCGGCCGTCATCAAAATCCGGCAACGGTTGCCGGATTTCCTTCAGTCGGTGAAGTTGAAGTACGTGAAGTTGGGATACGGGTACTCATGCAACGCCGCCACCATTGTGATGGTGGCCATAGCGGTGCCCCTCTTGCTGTCTCTCACGGGTCTAAAGCTCCACCACCTCTCCCAACTCGATACCGAGACCCTCGCCGGTTCAGCGCTCCTCCTCTTCCTCCTGGCTCTGTACCGAGCGAAGAGGTCCCCACCGGTTTACCTGGTGGACTTCGCCTGCTACAAGCCGGAGAAGGAGCGCAAAATCTCGGTGGACGGGTTCCTGAAGATGACAGAGGAGAGTGGAGCCTTCGAGGAAGAGTCGCTTCAATTTCAGCGGCGGGTTTCAACGAAAGCGGGTTTGGGGGACGAAACGTACCTTCCAAGAGGAATCACTTCTCGGCCACCGAATCTGTGCATGGCGGAAGCGCGTTTGGAGGCAGAGGCGGTGATGTTCGGAGCACTGGACGCGGTTTTCGAGAAAACGGGGGTTGAACCCAAAGACATTGACATTCTGGTGGTGAATTGCAGCTTGTTCAACCCAACGCCGTCTCTGTCGGCGATGATTGTTAATCACTACAAGCTGAGGAGCAACATAAAGAGCTACAACCTTGGAGGAATGGGTTGCAGCGCAGGACTTATTTCCGTTGACCTTGCCAAAGACCTTCTGAAAGCGAACCCCAATTCCTATGCTGTGGTGGTGAGCACTGAGAACATAACCCTCAACTGGTACTTCGGAAACGACCGCTCCATGCTCCTCTGCAACTGCATTTTCCGAATGGGCGGGGCGGCGATACTCCTCTCCAACAAGGCCTCGGATCGGGCCCGGTCCAAGTACGAGCTAGCCCACACCGTCCGAACCCACAAGGGGGGCGATGACAAGAACTACAACTGCGTGTACCAGAAAGAGGACGATAAGGGACAAATTGGGGTGTGTTTGGCGAGGGAGCTTATGGCCGTGGCCGGTGACGCCTTGAAGACAAACATAACAACGTTGGGTCCACTGGTCCTTCCCTTTTCGGAGCAGTTCATGTTCTTCCTTTCTCTTGTTCGCAGGAAGCTTCTTAAGCAGACATGGGTTAAGCCCTACATTCCCAACTTCAAACTAGCTTTCGAGCATTTCTGCATCCACGCTGGGGGCAGAGCCGTTCTCGACGAGTTGCAGAAGAATCTTCAACTCACTGAGTGGCACATGGAACCGTCTCGTATGACTCTTCACCGCTTCGGTAACACTTCCAGCAGCTCTCTCTGGTACGAGCTCGCCTACACCGAGGCCAAGGGTCGGGTCTCCAAGGGGGATCGGGTCTGGCAGATCGCATTCGGGTCGGGTTTCAAGTGTAACAGCGCCGTTTGGAAGGCACTTCGTGACATCAACATCCCCGTCTTGAGGGACTGGCGTGGCAACCCCTGGGATGACTCCGTCCATCGCTACCCCGTCCCCGTCCCCACCGCTTCCGCTTAGATTTCAATAAATTTATTTTTATTTACAGCCTTTCCCTTTACCGGTTCCGGTTTTTGTTTTCTCCTTCCTGGTGAAACTTATTATGCATCCTCTGTCAATTTGTCAATGGAAAACAAACTAAAGTTCTTGTTTATATATTTTATCAAAGTAATATAATTTTCAATACAGTTTCAAAGTCATTTTAGATTTGTGTTGTTATGCATTCATTTAAGATTTCGATATCACCGTATGAATTTCATTTCCTATTAACGGGTCGTGAAACCGGGGTTTTACCATCTAGGATACAATCATTTGCAAAACGTGCGTCTGTCAACTGGTTTTTTCTGTGAAGAATAAAAAGTTTATGAGCAATAAAGAAGGATATCCAATTTCAAAGTTAAGCAAAAGTTTAAAACTTGCCAAAACTTACAAAAAGAAAAGGGATATCTTTTTCTTAATTAATTATTATATTTATATTTAAGGCGTTGGATATTTAATAATAAAATACGGGATTGAGGCTCTTCCTGCGAATCTATACATATTGCCGCCAAATTGTTTATGATTGTATTCATTACGCATTGACGTTAAAAGAAAACAGTAAAACGTTTCCTTCGTTCATACCAAAAACAGTAAAGTTGTAGTGAAAAACATGTTAACACGGTTGACACTTGTTTGCATCTTCGGTATTCAGTATTTCCCTAATCACATCAACTATAAAGGCAAATGAGAAATCTTCTTACAAACTTTGGTTTAGATAGTAAAGTTAATTATTTAAATTAATAAAAAATAAACTGGAAATTATATTATATATACATTTTTACCTTGTTTTTATTACTCTTATTCATATTTATTTGTCTAAAAATATTATAAAAACAACAAATTTTAAATTATTTTGTCAGAATTAATTGCTAAATTTATTAGTTTACTTTTAATTAATGATATTTTTTTATTTAACCGCTTTAATAGGATTAATATTTTTAAAAATATTATCTTTAATACTTAAAACGGGTTTAAACAACCAATGATGATAAAATTTTATTTAGAAAAAAAATATTTATTATCTTTTTATATTTCTAATAAATTATATTGTTAATCTTAATTCATTAATAGATCTAATTTCTGTATCTCATTTTAAAATCATCAATTTAAAATAATATGTATAATTTTATTTATAAAATTAATATTTTACTCATGTAATTATCACTTTTCTTTATTAAAGAGTGAATCTTTGAATGTATTATTCTCATATTTCTTTACTTTTATATTCTTTTTCTCACGGTTCCGATTATTTGAAAAGTAATTCTTACACAATATAATTTTTTAATTTTTTTATAAAATATTTTAAAATGAAGATTATATAAATTAAAAAAGTCATTGGCAACTACTTCCCTCCCACGATTCACATACTAGTCAATTGTCCAGTCTAAAACTCAATTCCAGGGTCACGAAATGATTTGCTCAAATATTAGGGACATGTTCATTATCATAACGAAGATTAAACTTGTATTTTTTGTACATAATTAAAAAATCAATTAATATCCTCTGTGTTATTTTATAATAAATAATATAATATCTAAAATACAAATAAATGATTATCATGAAATTATATATTTACAAAAATGTAAACTGTATATTTTCTATGTAATTATCATGATAAATCACAGTTATATGTATTATTTTTTATTAAAAAAATATTTTATTAAATTTAATATCATTTTATCATAACCTATAATAAATTATTAAAATTTACTCAGAAGACTTATTAGAAAACTAAAATTTGACATTTTGATTTATATAATATTTTCATAAAACTTTGAATTAAGTTTGGATCTCATTTAAAATATCCAATCTAAACTTATATATATATATATAATTTTATTTACAAAATTAATGTCTCGCTTGACAATTATATATTTATAAAGTTATAATAATTAATCTTTTACGATAATTTTTATTATCTTTTAAGGTCATATTTTATTATTTCAATAGATTAATTTAAAGTTGAAAAAGACAGTTAACGTATAACCCGTTATATCGCATGGGGTTATCCTATTAATTTATTGGAAGGTCAAATGTTAGATCTATTTATCCATAATGAATAAGGCTGTAATGTACATTTTATAACTATGAAAAGTTAATTTTTTGGAAATAAATAAATAAATTCAGTAATAATATTTATGTTCAATGTGACTCCACGATTGCCTTTAACCATTCAGAAAAAAAATTGCATTTTTGTTTACGAGTTGCTTTCATTGTATCAATAAAAAGCGAAAAACTAGAGTCTTTCAATTTGTTCGAAATCAAACTAAATGCTTTCTTTTTTCATCTATAAAATTTCTTCGTTGCTTTCTTGGAAGTTGTATAGACTCTTGCTATTGCTAAGAACTGAATATGAATAGACAAATGTCTTATTGTAGACCACAAATGCCCAATAAAATGAAGTGATAGATAGTGACCCCTCTTCACATTTCCATAATGCCACATGTTATTCGCCATTGTTTGGATGGATGTGGTACTGTAAATGTCAATAAAGTCCATTTGATGAAAGAGACATTAAAATCTACCCATGTTCATAATCAATACAATAATAACTTAAATTACATTTGAAAAACATTTTTCTAAGGGAAGAAGTGTAAAAGAAAAGAGATGTGGTCTTGCCAAGTTGTCATCCCAAAACACACGGCGCCGTTTAACAACACTCTTGTTCCCTCCGTCTCAGCGATCCACCTGCCACGGCGGCGCCGTCACGGCGTCTCCACCATTGCCAAAGAACACATCGGGGAATTGGGTCACAGCCTTGTCGCCACTCTCCAATCCGATCCGAACCCGATTCCAAAAGCGCGAGAACAAGGCGAGATTAGGGGGTCAGATGTACTTTGGGCACTGCAGAGAGCGAGTGTTCGTAAGAAGAAGAATAAGAATAAGAAGGAGTCATCCTCTGTGGCCACTCCCATGGAACAAACTGCTGTGGATTACGCCAATGTTCGCCCACTCTGCATAAACGCCAACTGGGCCGATAAATTGGATGAGTTCGAGAAACGTCTTCGTGAGCTTTCAGACACCGTTTGATTTCAGTACACATCCATATATATATATTTTTGTTAATATTTTAATACAGAAAAACTTTTTTATTTTTTAATTCTGCTTTTGATTTTGTTTCACTTGATTGTTGAACTGGGAATGGGATTTTTGCTGTTTAATTCTCTATATCATGTGATGATCGCGGTATGTGTGTTTTGCTTGAAACTTCGATTTCAAAATTATCTTAAATGGATGAAGGTGAAGTTGCCATGTATTAGCAAGACATCCAAGTCCACGTTGATATTTTAACCAGTAAAAAGAGTATATAAATAATACGATGATCAGTCTATATTACTAAGATATTTAAAATAAATATTTCCCTCAAAGCTATGCTCACTCTTTTTAACTCAAATTCTAATAATAGCAATTTTGAAGACTTTTATGTTCGTTGAGGGGTTGAATATTTAATTTTATTGATAGTGGCATATTTCAATTGTTCATCGATAAACTAAAAACCGAAGATGTCAATTCGGAATTTGATTTTTTCATGCTTGCTTAGAGGGTGATAAATGTTCGATACTGAAGAGTAGTACACTACTTAATTACTTATTCTGTCTCGTATTATAAGAATGATGTATTCGTATACATGAAAATTTTGTTTGGGACATTTGTGGATTCCTTGATCTTCCTTTATCCCTATCGTTTTACCTCCTCCCGTATGCATACGGCATTCCGAGGGTTAGTTCAACATGGTGAAATGGTATTGTTCATGTGGGCCATGACGCCATTATTTTCTTTTCAAGTTTACTGTTAACTTTTTCCGCAAGATGTTAGTACATGGCTCATAAAGAAAAGTGGTTTCGTTTTCAAATCTTATGGTCAGCTTATTCACGTTATAGTGAAATGGGATTGCTTATTAGGTTACCACAAATTGTGTCTGCCGGGAAAGTAACGGTTCATCCACAAAAATATATTAGTAATGCAAACGTGACAGAATGGTTTACTGTGTTGCAAGTTGTAGTGGGTGATAGATTTTCAAGCCATTTACAATCTAAGCAGTAAACTAAATTACCATGAATCAGAGTTATACAGTTACTGCTAGATGCATACATTTTATGAAGTTACATTTACGACTGAACTGCTGTAGTGCCTTGTATGTGTGTGTATGCATTTGGAACTGGAGAATTGTCCAACATTGTAATTTTCGAAGCTTATCCATATTCGCTATCTGCCATGTTGATGTCTTTTCTGTGAGATTTCTAGTTATACTTCTTTAGACTGGCGAACTTTTGTAGTGGCTATGTTTCTAATAAACCTTCTGATGAGTTCACCATAAAATCCTGAAATCGATTTTTTTTGTATAAGAACTAGTGGTACCCTAATAAGTAAAACGCAACTGCATATTAGTGTTTTGAAGCATTTAATAATTCCAGATTTGCATCCAATCGTGTATTGTTGCCGTTCTACGGGTTGGGATAACATAACAGACACGAAGAGGCAATTTGTATGAGCAATTTTTTTTATAAGACTTGAGAAGGCATAATCTCCGTCCTTTCGATGTTTTCCAGGATGCTTTTGTTGCTGCACAACTAGATTAGTTTACTGTGTTACCATCCTAAATAATTCACCTTTTACGGGTCTAAAATGTGGCTGTGATCAATCCACAACCGCGGAATCAAACCACCTAGTCCTTGAGTGATGCATTTTCCCAATATTTTGCTGTGTTGTTCTAATTTATTTGTTTTTATAATTTTGACCTAACGCATTTTCTTGAAGCGACGACTTGAGTATCTGACTGTAGAAACATCAACACTGCTAAATTGCTTAACTATAATTAAAGCCCACAAAATGGTTTAGTGCATGAAAACTGGGCAACAAAATCAACTTAAAGTTGCCGAACCCAAAATAACATAATTTTCTACTGGTTGTCAATAAAAAATGCCAAAAAGCATTACAAGCAGAAAAGATGGGCAATTACTCAGCTGTGACTGATCTAACAGCAGTTGACACCAACATTAAATAGTTAATAGTTAATAGAATATCACTGGTTCTAATCCTAACTTTCTCTTTATATTCTTTTTCTTTTTTTTTACCCCCTTTTTTATGGGATAGGGGATTGTGAAGGGATTTTTCTATCAATGTATAGCAAAGAAATTACACGTCCCTGGTCCCCAAAGTCCCGTCACCACCAAGAAGACAGCCAGGGGGCAAGAGCCACGTCACATTTATCTGCTACCCCTAATAGGGTCGATACCTTCTACTCCGATTGCCCTCATCATTGCCACTACCTCCTCCTCGCCCTGGCTGACCATTTGGACCATTGCTCCGATCAACTCTGCGGGGTCGGGTAGGTGGCACCTGTACACCAGGTTGTTGACTGCAGAATATCCAATATGAAGATCAAGTTACTATATCAAATAATATTAATAAGGAAATGAAACAAATGTCCATGAGTTGTAACAACTTACAGGACATAGCCAATTCGACCATCTGGTAACACCATTGGAACCATCTGCATTCCTGCTGGCATTGGACCCCTACCATATATCATTGGCTGTTCAAATGCACACAACAAACCACAAGATCCAAAAAGATTAGAACAAAGAATAAATCACAAATCAAACATATCAACTGTAAAACAACAAAGAAAAAGTCATGAAATACCTGTTGATAACCGGCAGTAACACCATATCCAGCCCCTAAAGATCCATAAAGATTTCCAGAAAAACTACCATATGCAGGATGTGGAATATGGTTTGGATGAAGTCCAGGATTGTAGGCATAACCCCCATCCGGTTTTTTTTCAGTTTGAGGCTTGGCAAGAACAACTTCAAGCAGTTGGCCTGCAGTTTTAAATCCATTAAACATATTTAACTAAACATTTTGGATATACTCAATGAGGAACATTACCAATAAGACCAGTGACAGTTGTTAAACATTTCTTCTGAATAGATAAAAAAACAAGAATATTAAAAAGAAAAACAGACAAATTTGTAGAGACAAAACTGGTTAATAACTTTATATTGTATAAAACAAGTACCATCGATTTCATATTTCTCGGTATCTTTTACAGCTTTCAATGCACTTGACCTCTCTGCATAATGAATGAAACCAAAATCACGTTTCCCTCCAGCTTTTCCAGGTGGCATGACCACTTTTGTTACTTCCCCATGACGACGGAATAATTCCTTTAGTTGTTCAGTGGTAACATTCTCCGGTATATTTTTGACATATAGAGCTTTAACCTGGGAATGCCAAAAATCAGAGAGGTTCAAAGAAAAACCTCAATTAAATAATTCCTTGTACACACAACACCCTAAAATATATATAATATAAACATCACATATCCACATGTATGATGCTTTCAACAACAATAAACACCAATCCATTTCTTAAACAAAATCAGCATTCTGATGAGGTCTCGATAGTAATAATTTCAACAATACAGTAATCCAATAACGAGAAAAGACCCTTAAGATGGTTGAGTCCATTTCTGTGCCATGGAAGGATGTTGAGAAACAAAGCATGAGCCAGTAAATTTGAGATTGAAGGGATCTGAGAAGCAACTGAAATCGATTGAATGGGTAAAGGTTATGTTTCCACCACACAAATGATTAGCTAATATAGAAAAGTTCTCAAATACCATAAGGCATTAAGGCTAACTCCCTAACTATTAGTACTTAACTGACAACCAATCTAGCAAAAAGTACCAAGCTCAACTGAATGAAGCACTAAATTCCACACTGCTTCGATAAATCTTGAGTTACATTGATAACATCATTGCAAGATCTACAAGGAGTAGCAATCAAACATCTCTCTATCATCAAATAAAAGGAATCAGCCTTGAACCACTCTGACCTTCATTGATGTGCCAAAAGATTGATTTATCTCCAAGACCACACCTCAGGTGATCATGTCTTGGGAAACTCTAGGTTCTTTTGGCCTGAAGGATTAGCCAAAGCAGTAGCCTAAGATGGATTTTATATCGGATCAAGCAGGCCCTACACGGACCTAGTGCCACATCCATATGAGCTAAAACTCTAGGGCATGACTTGGATTGTTTATTCATATACTTTATGCAAGATTACAAAGATCAAAACAAGCATAACAGAAAGGAGTGGCTAGAGGTTGTCACATTCTTCATACAAGGTTTGGGCCACTAATGACTGACCAGTCCACTTTTTAAAGAAGAGCCACCAATCAGGGTTGGCTTAAGAGGTATGATCAAATTGAGTTGATAGAAAGGTCATACATTCAAAGCCTGGTTGGTCCCCAGTTGAGAGGCCATCTGTAAGTATCACTGTAAGTTCTCACTGAGATTTGTTAGTTGTGATATGCCCTGACCTTGGAATAAGGCAACCTCATCTCCCCATAAACTTTTTCTTAACCAAAAATAGTTTTTAAATAAGAACAAGTTTCTCTCCTTTGTTTTTTTCTCAAAAAAAGAAAATGACACAATTTGCTCAAATTGAAAGTTTGAAGATGTAGCTCAGAAAATCCACAGCACCTAAATCACAATAAATTTCTCTTACAACAAAGGGCTTTCCTTCTTAGCTAAGGTCCATATCAAAAGCTTAAAGAAACTAGTAAATACCCATAGGCTTAAGGTCTGCCAGTAGACAAGAAAAAGAGGAGGAGGAGGAGGAGGAGGGGGAGGGGGGCTGGGGGGAGCAAAGATCGTCCCCTATATCTACATACATTCATTTAGGAAATTACCTGTGAAGAAGCAGAATGGTCAGGTGAGTTCTTTGGATCTGCCCAAGTGACAGTTGGGGTATTACCATCCAGCTTAAAACTAGCACTTGACATTTTTTGCCGTGAATAATCAGCACATGCATTATTGTAATACAAAACAAAAGCAAACCCACGATTCCTGCTTGGATTTTGAGGGTCCTGTAATAAACAAAATAGAGTGGGACTGAAAAGGGAGCCCTTAACAGTTTAATATAAGCTAATAGCACAGTAAGTTCAAGACTGCACCTTTATGAGCTCAATGTTTTCAACTCCAGGACCAACACCCTCAACAACTTTCCTAAAATCGTCCTCAGTCCAGGTTTTTGGAACATTACCAATGAATAATCTGTGTTTGGTTTCAGACAGTGAGCACCTCAAAGTTTTACCCTGAAATCATGAAAAATGTTAAACTTAATAACCGAAATGAGATTTTGATAGAAAAATGTCTTATAAGTTAAATGTAGTGAATAGGATTTTCAGGAAGCACAGTGAATACCTTAAATTCCTTGTTATGTATCGCCTCGATCGCCTTTTGTGCTACCTCTTTTGTTTTAAAAGCCACAAAGGCATAACCCTTGTTTTCTCCACTGTCCCTGTCTTTCATTAATCGCACCTAAAAAGTAACAAGAAATTAAATTCTTATTAATAATCTCAATTTTACCCCACCTGCCAAAAGGAAAGGTTTATAATATCATACAAGCAATTTATTAAGTTTCCAACCTCAAGAATATCACCCATGGGATCACACAATTCCCTTAAGTCATCTTCACACACATCCCGAGGTAGTCCACCAATAAAGACTTCAGAACCATGAGGAGGAAGGGCAAGAATTTCATCATGCTTCTCTTTCTCATCTTCATTAATGAAAGACGGTTTTCGCTCATCTTCCCCAAATTCAGTAGCAATGTCACTTTTTTCTGCTTCAGGCAATTGGTCTTTCCCATCAGCCTCTGCTGCTGAGTCATCATATTCATGTTCTTCACCACTGCCTTCAACATTTTCATCTTCACCTCCATCCACTGCATCATCATCTATTTGTTCTTCAACATCATCATCCATCTCTTCCATATAATTTTCCTCATCGAGATCCACACGTTCATCAATTTCTGCACCTTCTGACATGATTGGCTCAGGATTTTGTCATTAACAGTAATACCTGAAAGTTCACACATTATTCACAAAATCTGTACAGAACACTAGGATTTTAAAGCCACTGGGTTTTAAGGAGATTGACTTTTCAAAGAGAGAATTAAAAAAAAAACATAGGGCTATTAATGTGGGACACATAAAAATGGCAGCCTGCCTGCCAGTGCCACTGACACAGTAAGGCTATACGGTGCTTTTCATAGACAACCCAGTAACATCCCTAAATTTCACATTTGATCAGTAGGGAACGGATTGGGTTGGGACCCTAATGTAGTGTTTGGTACAGGGAATCTTCCATTCCAAACTAATCTATGTTCCTGGTAATAGAATATGATTCCTAGGAAAAATTATAAAATATGTTCGATTATTACTCAAGTTTCCGAGGAATAATATGTTTACAATCAATTACCACAGGAAAGTTTAGTAATTTACAGTCAATTAACATGAAATATTTTTGTTCTCTTCTACCAAATATAAGAAACTTATATTCCTTCACTTGCCCAGGAATGTTAAAACATTCCCTGTACCAAACAGCAATTAAGTAAATGAAGGGGTAGGAATTTAACGAGGGTTTGCTTTGAGAGTTTTATTCCCAAATTGTTGGGGGAGGGGGCAAGGGGGGGTGGGGTGGGCGAGTTTAGATTACTCATTTATCCCTTCCAACTTCTGTAAATTCCAAGTTTATATTCATGCTCTCTTTGATTCAGATGCACATGTAGAAACCCTAGCTCTTCCTCATCCCTTATTATCTTATCAGCAATGTGAACATCCTTTTCATCTATTGCTGCTCACAATGCCAAGAAGCATGACAAGGACAAATACAAAGGCGATGATGACCCAGTAGAAGCAACAGCAGCACTGCTGCTGGTGAGCTTTCTGGCGAGTGTAGTTGATGTAGTGACATGCATTCTCCAGTGGAGGGATACAGTAGACCTTGTCCTGTGGGGATCTGGATGATGTAGGTTCATGCCAGCAATGAAGTCTTCAAAGCAAAGTTAGTTTCTGGGCCCATCATTCAAAACAAGGGAGTGAGTTGTGCTGCTGAGCTCAGTCAGGCCCGTGCCCACGGTTCCCCCTCAACTAGTAAATCAAAGTCATTCAGACAAGGGTGATGGCTTCTTCATGTCCCTTCCTTTCCCCTGGATTCCTTTCCTTATATTTCTCCTCCTAACTGGCAAAGATGCCCTATAGCAACACCGGAACTGGGAAAAATTCTCACCCAATTTTGCATTCTGTTCTTCACCTATTGAAGTTCTAGACGATGAAAAGGGGCAATAAGCATGTCTAAATATTCTCTTCCAGAGCTGTATGCAGACAAAATTTTATGCTTGTCCAATGCCAAACAGAGGAATGTCAACAAACCCAATCAAATATTGAAATCAAATTTGAAAAATTAAGAACCAGACATACACATCTATCACACAGAAAAACCCTCAGACTTTAGAGTTAAACCCTGTGATGTGAATGGCAGAAGAAAATGAATATTGAGCAGAGAAATGTGACATACCAAAGAGAAAGATGTATTATTGGTAGATGGGAAGTGAAATTGGAGTTACGGGAGTGGTTGGAATTGGATCGAAACAAGAAGTGAGGCATAGCCCTCGCGAAAGAAAAAGAGACATATTTATTGCTGGAAAACAAAAAGAAGTGATTTTGACGAAGCATACCAGTAGTATCAAATAAGGGGTTTTCAGATTTGCTTCTGAGTGGGTTCGGTTCTGTGATTATTGTTCTTCTTCTTCTTCCGCTGTAAGAGAGAGAGAGAGAGAGAGGAGTCAGATGTGTGTGTTTATCCTGCGAACCCTCCTTTTCCAGATGCCCCTGATAGACAATACTAAGAAGCAATCATTCTCACATAAAAATGGATGCACCCTAACGTAACTCCAATTATTCGTTTCCACGTATTCTTCAAAAATTGTCAGGCCTCAACAGTAACGAGTAAAATCACCTTTTTTTCGTTTGGGAAAATTTAGTTTTATATTATTAGATTTGTTAACGCATATCTAAAGCACATAATAAATTTTTTACATACATTAAAAGAAAAATGTTTATTATTAATACAGTAACTATGATATGGCTTAATTTTTTAAATTATTTTTGTTCAGATTAAATTTAATTTAATAAATACATATATATATATTGCATAAATTTATTTTAAGTGTGAAATTTTTAAATATATTTATATGTATTCTTTAAATTTGATTTATGATTTAAAAATTATTTTTTAAAAATAATATTAAATATAAACTTCTAAATAAAAAAATATATTTAAATTAAAAATTTCAAATTAATTTTTACATCATTTCTTTTAAAATCAATTTCAGCAAAATAAATAGATTCATTGTTTTACTTTTAGATATTAAATATATGTTCAACAAGTCCTTTTATTTATATTTGTCCAACAATTAATGTAAATTATATAAGTCACAGGATGCTTGTCTATCATGCAAAGAGTGTGCGCGAAAGGAAATTGGCGTCACAACTTGTTGTTGCTATTGTCATGATTAATGAGTTAATGTGTGTTTAGTTGAGGTAGGTTTAAAGAAATAATTATTTAAACTTTTTAAAGAACCTGATAAAAAAAAAACTGTGGTTTGTTTTAAATTAAATTAAATATACACTTTTGTATGATAAAAGATTAGGGTCACTTGTGCTGTAAGAAATTTCGTCCATGTAACATTATTTTGACACTGCAAATAATTTTGTTAGCAAAGTCGTATTTATGTTCATATAACAGTAGTTAGCTATAGTATAAGTGAATCTTATTCATATATCCTTAATATTAAAAAAAACATACATGTACAAAAATATACATAAAACAATTACATAAATCGTATTGGTAATGTTAAAAAATGGGTAAAAATCATAAAAAATAACAAGTTATTAAAGAGCTTAGTAATTCAATGTATTTATATACATAGTTATCTGAAAAAATGACCTTTATCTCTCCAAAATTCATAACTACAAATTTTATAAAATGATTTTTCTTTTATCTATTACTTAGTATTCACATGTAAAACAAACCCGTTTTTTGAAAGTTTCCTATCAAAGAGATAGCTTAAAAGGTTGCACTTTGTTTATCACCAAGTCAAAGAAGCTTGCTATGTTCTCACAGTGTGTGTAAATTTTCCAGTATTGTTGAATAATATGTTATAGTCAATAATAACATAGTTACAGATTTTTATTTGACTGGCCAAAAAGATAAAATAAAGAATTAAAAAAGAAATTATATTTTAAGAAAAATAAAAATTGATTATATATATATATATATTTTATTTTTTTTACAAAACATGTTTAAGTGTAACACAGTGCTAGCCCATGCGAAGTAACACCTGGGCTTCTTTACTTTTCTTTGCTCTCTCAGTGGTGGGTATGTAAACTTTGGTCAAGTTGACCAAAAAAATAACTGTCAGTGGACTGATCCACAAAATTATTAATTTAATACATAAACAAATTTTACCACTTAATAATATAAAAATTTATAAAATATAATAGAAATAAGAAAATTATGTTTTTTTAATCTTATTTGGTTTGTTATTAATTTATCATAAAAAGAAAAAAAATAATATTTTGCATGTTAAATGAGTTGAGTTTGTAAGTTTATGGATTAACCTGCTAATCCGTAAAAAGATTAAAATATTAACTTTAATTTTTTAAAAATAAAAGATTGTTTAAAATAAAAAATTATATATATATATATATATATATATATATATATATATATATAATTAAGACGTTGTTAGCTAATACACTTAAATGCTACCTTTACATGGCATAAAACTGTGAGGGGACGTAAGAGCCACCGTAGTGCATACTCACCACCTTTATAAACCATGATCGCATTCACAAATGGTGATTTATAAACCATGTTTCATTAGCAGCAGCTGGCTGATGGGTATGTTGATGGAAGCTCCCTTGTGGGTTGGTCTTATTCTGCATCTCATGGGATGCTTGATAATATTCTCTTGGCCGAGTCACTTGCCATTATCAAGCTTTGATTTGGTTGTGGCGAATTTATGATGACCTTTTTCATGTATTACCTCAAATCTGTCACTCTCGGACTCTTGCATTGCATCTAAGGAACTTGATGATTAAATTGAAAACAACAAACCCAATATTGAATTTATTAGACACTATCCGCGAGTGAAGTTTATAATGAATCCATACCATTAATATCGGATAACCATTGTTGAAAGGAAAAAAAATTATCAGTTAAATAATAGTTAATGCTTATTTTATAATCATCCAAAACAAGGACAGATAATAAATCATACATCTTGCATGCACAATATTAGTTAATTGAGAATAACATAAGTCTCATAAAACCGTAACAGAGTTACAAAAGCTTGTCCTCACAACTCATCCTTCAAATCATTTTTTTCATGGGTTTTCTTAACATCACGGATACAAACTCTTGCTTCCTTATAAATTCTACCCACTCTACAAAAGTATCCTTTTTTTGGTGCACAGTGATTATCTTGTGAGCAAATACATAACCCTTCTAAAGCACATCCATCCTTCAATATTGTCACCCCTTCTTCGAGTCCAAGCATCTGGTTTGTCCATTGGCTAGAGAAAAGTCCTTGCGGATCATACTTCTTTTTAACTTTCAAAAATTTGTATGCATTATGATATTTCTTGATTGCCCTCTGAAATGCTATGTTTCTGTTTTTACCCCAGTGAGGTAACCCTCCATATTTGAACAATCCAATTTGCTCTATCTCTTCAAGTATGTCTTCGAAAAGCCTAGGAGCTAACGGGTCCTTACTGCGGTAGTATGTTATGTCAAAATCGACAGCATCCTCAGTTTTTCCAAGGTATGCACTGGAAGCTGTAACATAGCGCATAAGGATTCCATTTTCCAGTTCTACTCCGCACAGTGCCTTCGGCTCTAACTCGACAAGCTTTTGCACATCTTCAACGAAGTTCTTTACTAATGACAAGGGAATGCTAAATGTTGTTTGGTGAAAGAATTCCCCTTTGACTCTGGAGTCCCATGGACATGCTGTGATCAGTCCATCATTTAAACTATCCAAACATGTCCCAGATGACTGCATGCGGTTGCTGAGTCCAACGATAGGGTACCCAAGAAAGACACCTATTATTTGTCAACGAGATTAACAATTTTACATTTCAAATGCAAATATTTTATTTTATTTCCTTTCAAAGTTAAAAAAAAAAAAAAAGTTTACCTTTTTTGTTTTACTCATAATTTCATAGCCCATAAGAAAAAAAGTAAGGTACTCGCACATTGGATTTTAGAATGCATTAGAAAAAAAGAAAGAAAGAAGAGTACCGTTGTTGGACAATCCATAACCAATGCCTGCCAGCGTTGCTGTTATCACCTTTGCACCACTGCACTTCCCATTAGCATCGTAAGTTGCTTCTTGAAGCTCCTCTGTTATAAGAAAATTCACCTAGTTATATTCAAGAAAACCTTGTAATTTTAATGAATGATTTCTAAAGTAAAGCAGAGGAAAATACAAGTTCAATTAACGGAATATATTGGTGGACGTCCTTTTCTGTGATCCAAATTAATGTATTAATGCTCTTTCGATGTTATATAAAAATCCAAACGAACCTTTGATACCCCATTTTCAGTAATAAAGGGAGCGAACCTGTAGCTCTGACAACTGCCAATGCGGCGGAGAGTGTGGAGCGAAATGGGAAGAAATCATATAAGCCATTTCCTGATGTATTTACGGAGACACGATCATCAATTCTATACACAACCTTATGCTGACTAGGGTACCATGTTACATCACCAAACTCATGCGTTCTTCCAAAATTAACCAATTCATCTCCTAAATCAGAATCATCTTTGCTCAAGTGTGTAATAGATCGCTTGAAGAGGGGCTCTAATTGCAGGGTAACCTGTACAAAAGTTATAACCAAACACATCAATTAGACCTAGAGTTCATATCTTAAAAAAGGATATAACTTGATTAAGTTTCATTTTGTTGTCATTAAATTTTTAAATTAAAATATCTAAATATTCTTTTAATTCAATAATATATTTTAACAGAAGTATTTTATGTTTTAAAAAATTATCCGTATGTTGTATTTTGACTTGAAAACCGAACAGTAAGAATACAAACAACTTAATGTAAGTTTTATCTATCCTAAACTTGTTATTTCAAAAAACAAAATACTTAATTACTAAGTTTGTCGACCAATTCCAGTTTTGATGGGTAAAGATCGTAAATAATTCAAGCTGGAGTTACACAATCAATTTTTCACTACTAACTGAAATAACCTTTTTAATATTTGGTTTTTGAGCAAGGGATTGCTTGATTTTAGAAAATATATATTTTTATTTTTATTTATAAAATTTTTACATAATTTTTACTCTATTTCCTATTTTTTAAATTGATATATACGTAAAAACACAATAAAAATTGATTTGAAAAATAGGATGATGATCTTTTTTTTATTGTAATTCATAAATTTGTTAATTATCAAATAAAATAAGATCATGTAAATGAACTTATATTATCTTGTTTTGACAATTATGAAAACAAATGTATAAACAAGGAATTATAGAAAAATAAAAAATAAATGAAAAACATTTTAACTGACAGATGAAAAGATGAAACGTTCCTTGAATTAGCTTTTCAAAAACTGTTACAAGATATTATAAATAATACCTTATAAAAAGTAAAGTAATTTTGATTTAAAAATATTTTAATTATTAAAATTCATTTTAAATTAATTAAAATTGTTGCTAAATACATGCAAACATATATATATAGACAAAAATATACTGAAATACTTCTTCTACTTCTTGTTTATTATGTTTTAAACCTATCTCTTATATTATAACAGTGTCTTTGGTTGTGCTGTAACAACGCACATTTTAACCAGCACAACTTTTTGCAGCGTTGAAGGTAGACGTGAATTTATTTCTGAAATAATGCGCAATCAAACACGCATAAAATGGACTCCACGCATCAGATTTTTGTACAACGGGATTATTCTATTGTACAAAAAAATTCAAAAGGGCTCAAAGTATCTTCTGTTTACGTTAAAAAGCTGTTCTGAAATTAATAAACATTTTCCTTAAAAAATTGTTTGGCATCATGATCTATCTGTGCTTGAAACCAGAATTAGAAAAGGTCGAACTTGCCCAACTTTTTCTCGTGTTAGAAAATACGTTAGAAAGCTTCTGAACGTGAATCAAATATAGAAGCTACAGCAAGCAACGTTAAACAAAATAAACGTGAAACTAAACATGTTAGAAACTCTGGTTTGAAGAAGGTTACCTGAGAAATAACTCCAAGAACACCCAAAGAAACCCTGGCTGCATTAAGATCTTGGTCGGATTCGTTAAGGTTCCGAACCTTAGCATAGGCATCCTCAGGTCCAGAGGGGCTCACAATTCGAAGCTCCACAACGTACTCGTGAACTGCACTTCCTTTGCTCCACAAAGTGCTTCCATGAGCACCAGTAGCCATAAGCCCCCCAATTGTTAAACCCCACCAATATGGCGTATATGGCAAAGCCAATCCAGCTTTTGCTGCCTCACTCAATATCTGTCTCAGCGACACACCACTCTCCACCTTCATTCTCATTGCTTCCGCATCTATCTCCAACACTTTGTTCATATTTTTAGTGCTTATAAGCAACCCATTTTGTCCATCGGGGCAAACCAGCTTGGGGATGCTGTGGGAGAAGCGCGTTACAGCTTTCATTTTTCTGTTGTTCTTTGAAGCTGTGGCCACCATTGATACGAGCTCTTCTTCTGTTGTTGGATACATAACTTCACCGGCTTGGCAAATGCTTCGATCAGGGAACACGCCATACGTGTTCGTGATAGTGCAGTTTGTGTTCTGTGAAGAGCATCGAATTGGATCCTCTGGAGGAGTCGAAATCACTCCATAGGTGTATAGGAAGAAGATAAGAATACTGGATTTGAATGCTTGTTTGGAGCATACCATTGTCATAGTTAGAAATTGTTTATGTAGTTGAGCCCTGCATTATGGTGCTATTTAAAGATTCAGAGGGATTCGAGTTTCCTCATGGATTGTAAGATAAAGTATTCATTACGTGAACCAATGCCTGGAGCCAATGGCTACACGAAGATTCCAATTTACCTCATTCTTATTAATTATTTATCTTATAGTGAATGTGTAAAAAATTAAAAAATTTATAAAGGATAAGGGTATTATAAAAATTAATGACAAATATTTTCTTAAACTTTTAAAGTGACAAATATAAAGGAATTTCTTTTTGGGAAATGATGACAGATAAAAAGTAATGGAAATAATAATTATTGTACATACATTAGAATATTAATTTTATTTCACTAATAATTTATTAATCATTAACTTTTTTAATATATGATGAGTTTTCATTTCTAATGTACGGGTTTAATCTATTTGGAATTAAGGTTTTGAAAATCAGATCAGTTATTGAACAAGGAAACTTAACAATTTCAGAAAACTATAAAAAAAATATTTATTTTTACCTAAAAAAAAAAGTTAATTCAGACAGCCTTTGACATCGCATAACATATACAGCCTACGGGGAAGATGACTACATGTGACAGTTTTTATATGATTTAAAATGGGCCGAAAGATGCAATAACTAGTTTCTACTTTCTACCAATGAATCATATGGGAATTAATATAACCAACTGCTTAAAAAATAATCAAATTTTTTATTTTAAAAAATAGTTACAAATAAAGTTCCTTCTTTCTCCCTCCACTTTTATCCTTATTCTTATTCTTATTCTTATTCTCCCTCCATAATCTTCCTATGTATTTTTGGATCTTAACTCGCATAAGAGGCATAGATCTCCTGCATATGTCCCAAAAATACATAGGAAGATTGTGGCATTTGTTAAGATCCAAGACGAGTACAAACCCTGGCTTCCTTGTAGACTCTGCCTGGTCTGCAAAAGTAGCCTTTGTTTGGTGCACAATGATTGTCCTGAGAGCATATACACAGACCTTCTAATGCACATCCATCCTTTGATATTGTTACCCCTTCTTTTAGACCAAGAACTTGGTCTGTCCACTCACTAGAGAATAGCCCTTGTGAATCATACGAATCTTTAACCTTAAAAAATTTCTCTGCATTTTTGTACTTGTTGATTACTCCTTCAAATGCTACGTTCCTGTTCTTACCCCAATGAGGTAGACCTCCATATTTCAAAATTCCCAACTGCTCAACCTCTTCAATAATGTCTTCATAAAGCCTAGGAGTCCTTGGGTCTTTGCTACGGTAGTATGTGATGTCAAAGTCTATAGCAGCTTCCTGTTTCCCCAAGTAGGAACTGGAAGCTTTCACATAACGCATTAGAATTCCGTTGTAGATCTCTATGCCACAAAATCCCTTTGGTTCCAATTCAACTAACTTTTGAACATCTTCAATAAAATTCTTTACCACAGACAAGCCAATGCTAAAAGCGGTTTGGTAAAAGAACTCTCCTTTGACTCTGCAGTCCCAAGGACACGATGTGATTTTTGCTTCTTTATCACTGTCTAGGCATGACCCAGATGCTTGAAGGTCGTTTTGAAATCCAACTACTGGGAATCCGCTGAAAGTTTCACCTGCAAGTTCCGAATATAATGCAAATTAGCTACAGAAATTGAAATTATGAATATTTGACTAATGCAGAAGAAAAGAAACATAGAAAAAAAGTAAAAGTGAAAGTGCTTATTTGTCTGAAGTAAATAAGAAAAACTCAGCACCATTGTTAGTTAGTCCATAAGCAGTAGCCATAAGGGAATTCGTCGCTGTCTTTGCAAGTAAGCACTTGCCGTCAGCATTACTAACAGATTCCTGAAATTCCTCTGCAGCCCACACCCAAAAGCATAAAAGTGTAAAGAACACATTAAAATTCATTTTTCACACGCGTCTTGTAATATATGCAAGATCACGATTGAAGGTGTGAGTGGTAAAATGAAAATTTTAAGACAGAAACATTTCAAGCCAATAAAGCAAAACAGACCTGTGGTTCTCACGAGTGCTAATTCAAGTGAAGGAGTGGAACGGAAAGGGATGAAATCATAGATACCACTGCCTGATGTATTAATGGGGACACGATCATCAACACGGTATACAGCCTTATGTTGATTTGGGTACCAAATTATATCTGCAAACTCATGTTCGCGTCCAAATGCTGCAGCTTCATCTCCCAAATCCGAATCGCTTTTGGTCAAATAGGTAATGGATCGCTTGAAAAGAGGTTCCAGTTTCAATGTAATCTACCAAAATGATATAAAATCATCATAGGGAAGAAAATGTGTCTGCATGATCGTTTTTCCCTACCAACATGCAATGGCTCAACAATTTAAGATGTCTTAAAAGGCTTCTTAATATGTATAAAATGGGTATTTTTATACAATATGTATTTGTCGTTTCATATTACAAATATTAAAATTTGTAATTAAGTATTACAGGAAACAGTTACATTTGATACATTTCAAATTTGACAAAACTAGCATTTTAGTCCTTGAAAGAATTTGAGTACAGCATTTTAATTCCTGAGACATTTAAAATATCACATTAGTCCACAACTTTCTTCTCTGTTACGTCACAGAAAGTTGAGTTGTCATGTTAAGTGCTACGTCAAAATCCCTATTGGCAGCAACGATGTCGTTTTGGAAGCTGGTGTGGCAGAGATAATTGCGAAAAGGTATCGTTGTCATTGAAATTCCTTTTTCTCAAATTGAATCAAACATTTTCTTATTATTATCGAAGAATCCTATCCTAAGTCCAGGCTCTCTCTCGCCCAAATTCTTATTCGTAATTGTGTTTGGAGGTAAAATATTTCAAGATTGAAGTTTATTGTAGTGGAACAAGGGTCAATAGATGGAGAATTCAGTAAAAAAAATTTTTTTAATTCATTGAATCAATTTTTTGGTTTAGGGACGAAGAATCCTAACTGTTCAATATTTTGAGGACGACGAACCATAAGTGTTTAATGTTTTAGGAACGATGAACCCTATATGTTTTCTTTCTCCTTAATCAATGTGAATGTGGTTATTGAAAAATGTTTTTGGTTTGTTATTGAGAAAACAACAAGGGATGGTAGGAAGTGGTCCCTGATAGGCAGTGGTCCCCTTATGTTTCCTACAACTTTTTAGTTTTTAAAATTAAAGAAGATAATGTTAATGAAAGTGGTCCCTTTCCGCATGGTTTAACCCATTTTTTCATGTGCGTGCATGACTTTCATTATTTATTCAGTAAATTAGTTTAAAATTGTAAAAGATTGCTAATTTTTTTTATAATTGTTTCTCTATAAATGCAGATAATTAAGTTTTACATTTACCATAGAGAAAATTTTTTGGAAGAAAATAGAATTAAGGAGTATAGGTGGGATAAAATTGAGGTGTGGACTGATGTTGATGAAGATATAGTAGATATTTTTAGCTTCATAAACTTTGTCAAGGCAATGGGGTATTTCACTATAATAAAAAATATATTCTGATTTGACCCTGATAAAGAGTTTGATGAAGGCTAGAAATTATTAAAATATGATGCTAATGTGTAGGAAATGGTGGTTATTGCTAAGAGAAATAGAAGGGAGATGCATGTTTCTTATGAGCATGAGATTGGTACACCACAATTACTTGAAGACAATGAAATTCTAATGTTGGAAGGCCTGAAGGTGATATTGCAGCAATGGAAGAAGAAATTCAAATTGAACAAGCAACAATAGAAGAAGATATTTAAGTTTAACAACTAGCAATGGAAGAAAGTTTTAAAGTTGAACAACCAGCAACAGAAGAAGTATAAGTTGAACAACTAGCAATAGAAAAAGTACAAGTTGAAGATGTAACAGCTGAAAAATTAGAAGTTAAAGATATAACACCAGCCCAAAAAGTACAAGTTGAAGTTGATAAGAAATAGCAAAAGAAAAAGGCAAAGGGAAAGCAAATTGTAAAAGGAAAAGGAAAAGACGACTCTAGTGAATCAGTTGGGAAAATAAGAAGAAGAAGTTTGCGAAGTGGAGCCATGAAAGAAAATTTTCAATCTGCTACATCAGAGAAAAAACAAAAAAAGGAAAAAAAAGCATGGGAAAAGGAAAAGGAAAAGGGAAAGAGGTAAAAAAAACTGAATGAAAAGTTAAAGAAAAAATTACCTATATTGATGAAGAAGATTATTTATATAAGGAACTTTTTGAAAATAGCATAAAAGGTGTAGAAGAGGTGGGTAATAGGGAAACTCCAAAAAGCAAAGAGAATTCTAAAAATTCATGGAGGTCTGAAGAATTAAGAACTCCAACAAACTCAGATGATGAAGATAGTAACAAACAAGTTTTTCCCAAATTTAATGAATCTGCAAAATTTGAAAATGTTTACTTGGAGCTGGGAATAGAGTTTGAAAGTTTATAATTTTTCAAAAAAGGTGTTAAGGATTATACAATTTAGATGGAAAGAGAAATAAGGTGGGTAAAAAATGACAAAGTCAGTGCAACAGCTAAGTGTAAATATGAAAACTGCAAGTGGAAAAATATTGTGCAAAAAATAATGTCACACATAGCTTCCAAATCAAGACTTTTCTCAGTGAGCACAGTTGTGATAGGGTTTTCAAAAACAAACAAGCAACACAAGATTGAGTTGTAGGTAAGCTTGTTATCAAATTAAGGAAACACCCTAATATGAAATATTTTGAAATTGTTGAGTACTTTAAAAATAAATTTAGTGTGCAGATAGAAGATACCAAAATATACAAGTCAATGGTTAAGGCAAGAGAAAATTGTTATGTTTCATTCTTCTTTTCATCAATTTTTTCACTAAAATATAAACGAAATGAGGGTAAACAATGATTACAAAGGCATTTTTTATTAATGTTAAAATAAAATTTTATCATTATCTTACAATAAAGTACATGACAATATACATCAAAATATAAATAATTTGTACAAACAACTTTAATTTCTTAATTTTAGCCTCAAATATGTTATTTTTGCAGTCAAATTCTTCATTCATAGCTGCTGCACTTGTAAGAGGATATGTTACTTGAGAGGTTGGATAATTAGCAGTATTATACATATCCTTCATGCTATTTTTGTTATCAGTCCATGCAAAATAATTGCAATGTTCATCAACTTATATTATGTGTAAGAAGTAATTTAATTTAATTTATCAGAAATGACAATTGAACACAACGATAAATTAACTTTGTTTACCATATATTTGGGACATCCAAAGAATAATCTTTCAGGATTAGCTTCTGTTTGTGAAATTCTAACAGCTGCTTTCAACCCACAATGACAAATCTTGCCATTTCATTTCTTATTTTATTCTAATGATGACCTTGAAGCAAAACTCATCAGAGGACTTATATTGCTATTACTAGCCATATAAAGTGTTTGAAACCCAAATCGTGCAAGGAAGGAAGAAATCTAATAATAGAAGCAAGATACCCCAACAATAGAGGAACGGAAGAAACTCAATAAAATCAAGTAACTCAATTGCAACCATGAACCCTAACCTTAATATTGGAAGAAGACCAGAGGTGCAACATATATTTTGATATGTTTGATTCAATTTGGGTAAAAGGAATTTCACTGACAACGACACCGTTTTACAATTATCTTTGCCACTTCAGCTTCTAAAATGACGTCATTACTGTCAACAGAGATTCTGATATAACACTTAACGTGACAACTTAGCCTTCTGTGATGGTGGGGTCTAACATCAGAAACTAAAATAAATAATGGAGAAAAAAGTTGTAAACTAATATGATATTTTAAATGTCTCAAGAATTAAAACGTTAAACTCAAACTTCTTCAGAAACTAAAATACTAGTTTAGTCTTCTAACAGGAAAGCAAAAACTTTTGACACAGTACATAGAGAAATCTCCGTCATTCTATTTTGTTCAATAGATCAATCTTTTTTCGACTGTCTTCAAAGTCATGTCAGCCCAAGTAGTAAGCCCACAATTTCAGAAACATGTCCGTACTCCATTAAGCTCTTGACCCAGAAAAAAAGGGATAGCCCTTTAATGGAAGGGTGTTATAGTACCGTTGTTCTGTATGTATGTTAAAAAATATTTATTTTTGAAACTATTTCTATATTGTATGGATAAAAATTTTGATGTCAAATTTCGTATTCTATGAATGCTTAGACATCTATATTTAAACTCATTATTCGAATTTTAATTAAACATAAACATTATTCATGTTGTAATTATAAAATATAACAAAATATCAAATAAATTTATATTCAACAAAATAAAGTACTATTTATTTATTATTTTATCTTTCCGTCTTATTAGAAGTTTAAAATGTATGGACGGACATTGAAGGGTGTTTCGTCCACGATTTTAAAACAATATTTCCCTTATTTTTCTTAACGCGTTATTGTACTATTTTTGTTTTCGTGGTCGATAATAGAGTACATTTCTTGTTGGTTATGCTTTGGTTGTACTATCGGAAGTTGCTAATGTGTCCATAGCACAAGAACAACCCAAACCATAAGGATAGATATCAATTAAGATTCAGGCTCTGATTGGTTGAGAGAAGGAAAGTAGATGGGAAGAAACGAGGGTTTGATATGTGGATGGAGATGGGGATTTTTTTTCTTCAGGACTCATCTAAAAAATATTATAAATATATAATTTTAGTTATTTTTCTATTCATCTAAATAACTGGATTTTTTTTATAAAAAAATCTCCTATTTAAATCACACTTTTTTTTTCATTTTATTTGGGCAATAAGCTACTTATATTTTATTTATACAACTATATTAATCAAACTATTTAAGTAGTTTATTTTGAAACTTTAAATTATTGTTTTCTCTTCTCTCTCGTCCTCCCATGTTTCTCTCAAATAAATTTTCAAACAAAAACTAATGACTCCTTACTTCTTTCTTGTTTTTTTATTGCTGATGAAATTTGCATAACTATTGCTCAAGGAATGGGACTACTTCATAGTTGATGTACACTATCTAATTAGATGTAAAAGGAAAGGGAAAAAGAGAGTGGAGTAGAGTGTGATTTATAAAATTTTTGGCCTTTTTTTTTTCTTTTTGATTTAAGTTATGCGTGCTTTTAGTTTTTTAAATATTTAGTCTCTTAATGATTTTATGTAAAAATATTGAGTGATGAATAAATTTATACAATTTTAAAATAAAAAAATTAATTAACTATTAAAAAGAAATAAAAATTACACGTAGTTCAAATTGTGCAATTAAATCTGTTTTTCTCATCTCATAAGTTGTGAAAGTGGTAAGGAAAAGGGGATTTAAATTTTATTTTTTATTTTTATTTATTTTAATGTTAATTAAAATTAAAAAATATAAAAAATTTAAAAACAAGTCTCAAGAAGGAAATATTATAGTAAATATTTTTAGTTAAATTATTTTTTTTATTATTATACAGAATAATTTTAGCATTATATATTTTTCCTGCAAAATATTTCGCATTTTGAATTTTATTTTTGTAATTTTTTTAATTTTAACTTCTACAATTTATAAATTATCGGTTTTAATTTCTAAACATTGTTAAATAATGAAATGATTAATTCATATGTTGTCATTTTTTATCATATTAACGAGAGGAATTTGAAACTAATAATTTTTAAAAATATAGATAAAAATAATATTTTATAGATCAAAATCAAAACATGATATATTAATTATTAGAAACTAAAATAATATTTAAATTTATTTTATATAGTCAATTTATTTTTTAGTTTCTTTTTATTTGTCCAATTCTTAAAAAAATTGTAACATGCAATATCAAGTAATATATATATATATATATATATATATATATATATATATTCAACCACTTTTTTAAGCATAGTGGAAAAAAAAGAGAAAGATAGAAAAAAAATGTAATCGATGATATAATAAAAAAGAAATAAATATAAAAAAATTACATATAGAAACATAAGAACCAGCAAATACTATGGGTTGCTTATGTTACATTACTAATAAACTTACGTACCCTATAATTGTGAAAGCATTAATAGATGGTTAAAGGGCAGTGAAGAAGGAGAGGGAGCATACCTGTGAAATGACCCCCAACAAGCCGAGTGACACTTTTGCTGCATTGAGATCTTCATCGTCTTCACTAAGTGTATGAACCTTAGCATATCCATCTTCAGGACCTGCGGGTCTAACAATTCTAACCTCCACCACATGCTCATGAACACAACTTCCCTTCCCCCACAACGAGCTTCCATGAGCACCCGTGCCCATAATGCCCCCCATTGTCAACCCCCACCAATAAGGAGCATACGGCAACGCCAACTCTGCCTTTGCAGCCTCATTCACAAGTTCCTTCAATGTCACGCCACTCTCCACCGTTATTGTCTTTGCTTCAGTGTCAATCTTCAAAACCCGGTTCAGATATTTAGTGCTTATTAGCCACCCGTTTTGGCCGTCAGGGCATACCCACTTGGGAATGCTGTGGGAGAAACGTGTCGTAACTTTCATCTTCCTTTTGTTTTGAGTCGCCGATGCTACCACTTGCATGAGCTCTTCTTCTGTTGAGGGGTAAAACACTCGTGCTGCTTCGCAAGTGGTTCGGTCGGGGAAGATGCCATATGTGTTTGTGACGGTGCAGTTTGTGTTCTTTGAAGAGCACTTGATGGGATCCTCCGGAGTACCCATTGCCACATAGAAGAAAAATACGAAGAAGAGAAGAGTAGGTGTGAAGGGGAGCGGTGACATCGGCTTTAACTTTAAGCACAATAATGGCATTGCTATAGGGAACTTTAGCATGCCAATGTTTTAAGAGTTAAGTTTTCGTCGTTGGCTCACATATAAATAGATTGAGTATAGAAGAAGAAAAGATTATTAATTCGTCCATTTTCTGTGGTCCGTTATTTTAAGGGAATGGATTTACGGGGCGCAGTGATTAGTGTCGATTGTGAACCGACGAAGGAAGGATGCATAATACATTGCGTGTTCAAATCTCACGCGGTAACACTTCATGTGATTAGAGAGGGAGAAAAATATAAATTTTATAACTATTTATAATATAACAGGTTTTTAGTCTGATAGCAACTAATTAATTCCCATCCTTTCGTACCAGTGAATGGTCTCCATTGTATATTTACAGCAACCACAAATCTCTCGCTTTGATTAATCTTCACTGTTTAAAATATAAATTAATGGTTATAATTTTGCTGCAGATACAGATTGAAAAAAAATTTGGTAGGAGAGGATCCGTTTTAGTTAATAACTAGTATTTCACGCGGGGTTTTATGAGTAAATAATAATTATTTATGAAAAGAAAATTTAGTTAAAAAAAACTCCGTAATTATATATATCTGTATCAACCAATTAAATATTACAAATAAAAATTTATCTAAAACTTCCTTATAAACAATATTTGTAATTGTGTTTGAAATAATATTTTTTTTATTGCATATTAGAATTTTTAACTCAAGATGTAGAATTAACTTCCTACAACACACACTATCTCTGCAAGCTTCCGAATCTTCAATCTCATTAACTCTTCCCATAACATTTAAATGGTTGAAAAATAATTATCAATGACTCCACAAAAATATATGAATATTAAAAGTACTATTTGTCATATTATTATAAGTATCATAGAAAGAATGACATATCAATCAAAATTCGATCATCAACTCTAGAAAACAATACATCATCAAATGAAATAAATATAAACTCAAATTGATGAACAACATCAGTAGGCTCATGAATATAAACAGAAATTAAAGACTGAAAGTTGATCTTGAAAGTGTGGTTAGTGCAACGGCAATCTCTTGTATTTCGTTCTACTCCAAAATTATCCAAAACATAAATATCACCGTCACGAAGCACATTCTTAAACTTATTTAGGAATACTTTTCTTATAGATGCTTGGATTTGACTTCCCTACGAGGTTGTTAAAGAAAATAAATCAGTTCAAAATATTATGATTACACTTACAAAACAATAAATAATTCAATAATAATATAACTCACATGGACATCGAGCAAAATTATTCATTATTATATCTAGTCATACTTCACTTGCAAATTACCGTACCTTAATTTTTTAGGTTGATTTGAGTGAAAAAATGTCAGAAATTTTGTCCAAATTGGGAGCTATTTTCTCACAATCAAAGGAATGCCAAAATTGCTTAGCAAATTAACTTTCAATCATTAATAAAAACTTAAGGACAACGAGGAACCTAACCAATTATTAGTGTTTAAGAAAAAAAATTAAATAATATATTTAAATAAAATATATAAAGTATGAATGAACATGCCTATTCTGAAATAAGCGGATAGAAACATCATTGAGCGTTGGATATTATGATTCCAAAATAGAATGTGAGTCAATTAGTACAAATAAGCGAATAGAAACAAAATGGGAGATAGAAAAAGTAAAAAACTCTATAAAAATAGTTAGACAAACTTTTTAGATTCACTTAAAAGCTGTAAGAAATATTTGTAGTAATTACCCATCAAGTGCAAACACACTATTTGAATGAATGTTGATCCTTTAATAGCAAACTGTGCAAATTGAATTTTTAACTATGAATGATTATACGAAATATTTTAAAATTATGGATAATTATTTTTAAAATATAATAAATATTATTATTCTTGCTTAAAGTATTTTATTTTTATTTTATTTTATTTTTTATTTTATTTTTTATTATGTACCGTTAGTGTAATTATTTAAAAAAATATTCAATTACTTAATAAAATTATGAAAAAATTACAATATTACAATTAAGATAAAATATTTATATACTGTAGAATTGATTGTTTTTATTATTTTTAATTATTATAGATGCTATTAGTGTCGGTGTGAGAGGATTGGTTTTAGGTGTAAATCCTCCATTATTGATTTCTTACATTATACTTACACATCAAAAAGAGATATAAACACAGAAAAATGAAGTTTTTTAATCCCCGACAACGATGAAGTTAGGTTTCTAATTTTCATGTGCTGTAGGGATGATAAAGTGGGCTCAAGGACAAAAGATGGCATGTTCCACTGTGGCCCATTTATACTCTAGATTGGTTTCTTTCATGTTTCAAACATTATCGACCAAAGAAAAAGCTTCAAACATTTAATACTTCCCCCTATATTTTTAGATGTATCCAACACTCGGATAGATCCATCAACTTTAAATGGACACCATATAAACGTGTGTATCAGTTTATCGGAAAAGTATTTATTATACATTTAGATGTATAATTTAACTAAACATTTTTTATTTAATTTTTTTTATTTGAGATTTTATGTTATAAAATTAATTATGATCAATTATAAAACTTAATTTGATAATTATATTAGAAAAATTATTGAAATAAATTATAATTTTTTTTAAAATTATAAGATATTTTTGTTAACAGTTCACAAACTCTTTCAACAGTTCCTTAATGAATTTTGAGAGTGACATCAATAAATTTTGAGCATAATAACATAACAATTTTTTTAGCTATGTCTAGATTTGGACCATATAAATATATACAGATGATAAAGACTAAAAGTTAGTTAGTAACCATGACTACTTAAAAATATCATATGTATATTTTAATCTTATAGACAATCTAAATGGGATCTAGTATTTATATTTATTATTCTCATTTTGTATAAAAATTAATTGTTCTTATTTGAGTTATTTTCTAGGTATGTATTGTAAGTGACCAAACGTAAATGATAAGATTTTACATTAAATAAAAATAATAAAGATAAATAATATATAAGCAAGAATAATTCATAATTTAATATTTAAAAGTTCTGAGTTACAAATAATTCATATGCCCTAACATGCTTGTATAAAAATTTAGGCGAGCAAGCCCCAACATATAAATGAAACCAGAAACAAAAGATAGAGTGGAAGATTCACAATGAATCTCATTTTTCCCCCCCTAACTTCAATTTAAACAAACAGGATGACCAAAAAAACAAACAACATATATATAAGACATTAATTTTCGGCATAGTGTGGAAGAGATCACCAATAAACGCGATCCGGTAGATTTCTGTCATATTTAATTCTGGGTTTGAAACTGCAAGCATAAGTCATTGTAACTTTTACCTTTTCTCTTAACATTGATTTGATATTCAATATTGAAATAGATAATTTATGTAAAATAATAAACTAAGAAAATTACGATTACAATTTCGTATTTCGATATGGGATCTACTCTCTGGAATTGCCTTCAAAGTTATACTCTCTGGATGTGTTTGAATATATAATTTAATAAAGTGTTTATTTAATAATTTTAAATAATAATTCATGTGGATTCTTCTGAATATGCTTTAATTCTAATTTTAGTACGTGGCTTTTATCTCTTGATGAATATGAAAGTATTGCATGTTGCATATGTTGTACTTAACGCACGTTTGAGCCGAACCCGTTCACTGATGCAATCTCTTTTGGGAATTAAGAGAGATTAGTAGGATAGGACCAGCCAAAGATAAACCGACAAACAACATGGGGCCTGCAGCTTCCTCTAAAAAACCCATTACATAACACAGAGATGATGAAATATTGATCAAATCTAACATGATGGGATAAAAATTCATCAAAATGAAGAACAACCACAGCAAACCCCTTATGTTTTTAAAATTATTTTTTAAATAAATAAACTGAATCAATTACACAATTAACTATATAATTATAAGATTAAAAAAAAAGCTTTAAGAATGCGTATTGGGTACACTTGAGATATATAAATGTAAGATTTCCTTTTATACAAGTTATCCTAGTAAATTCAAATTTGAATCTAATTTTAATAACTAATTCAAGTTAATTCAGACTGAACTTTTCTTTATATATAATTATAATTTTAAAATCAAATATTCACTTATACTTGTTTAACTATATATTTATAAAATTGTAATAATTAATTTTTTTATAAATTTACAATTAAATTTACATTTTATTAATATTATTTTAAGAATGTATCTTATTGTGCACTCTATTTATAAGTTTGTTATTCTAAATTAATTGAAGTTATTATTGTGTCCCGTATATTTTGTATAAGTTTTATTTTTATTTTAAAAAGTTTTGGTTATAAATAATATAAAAGAGATAATAAAATAATTTATTGCCACTTTCTAACTAAATTTCAAAAAATAAAAAGAGTTAAGTTTGCATCATTGCATGGAAGACTTTTTTCTCATATTTTTTTATATTACGTGTTTGAGATATTAGAAACCTTTTATTCTTTTAGGTGTTTAAAAAATATTAATATTATGCATTGTTGAATTTATTTTTTAATTATATATTTAATTTAAAAGTATATATTAAAAAATAAAATTGTCTAATTCAATTCAAATTCTAGTAAATTATATTGGTTTAGATTCCATATGATGTTCTTTATAAACCAAATTTTATTGTATTTTATTTTATTGGATCGAATAAATTTTGTCTTCCAAATTGATCCAATTCAATCTGCTAATATTTCGTTACTAGATAGCTTTATAGGTTGTTGTAAAATTATGTTTACAATCCACATTATTTAAAGAAAAGAGAAACAAGAAAAAAAAAATGTTTACCAAAATACTATCTTAGTAAATTCTAACATAATTTGTAAACTTTAAATTCCACTAAGGAATTATCGAACATAGATTCGTAGATTCGCATATTAAGCTTATAAAGTTTTTTTATTTTTATTTTGACGATGTTATTATTTGTTAAATCATATAATAATAAAAATGTCCGATGATGGGTCAAGTATTATATATATATTACTTTTATTTGTTTTGTTGTTTAGTTAGATGTTAAATATCAATTATGTATGTGTTACAAATAAATTTTTTTTCAAAAAATATTTTTAATGTATGTGAATTCGTATAATTTTGTGGACTCGTGTGTTCATTATTCAGGTTGACCAAAGCTCCTTAAGTAATACAAAATAATGGAAAAGTATATTTAAAACATGTTCTGTTATTTTTATAAAAAAAAATGGAATTTCTTTTCATTCAAATTATCATTTAGTATTTTTAAAATCATGTTTTAAACTAATCATTTCTGATAATTTATATTTAATTAAAATTATCTAATATTTTATATATGATTTGAATTTCAGAGTTTTTTAATCTTAAAATTATAATAATATTCTAGGTGTTTTATGCCATGCAATCATTTTAAAAAACTAATTATTTAAAGTATCTAAAAAAAATTTAGAATACTTTGCCTCAGAGAAACACTTCAAGAAATGAAGTAAGAAGAATACATTATTCTTATCCATAAAAAGATATTCTAAAAAGCATGGCTGAAAGAGATGAAATTTAACTTGATAATTTTTATATTTTGAAAAAATATCTCTAGTTATATGTTTAAAGATATTTTTAGTACCCACGTAAAAAAGTAAACTATTCTAAAATATTAGCCTAAATTTATCGATAAGCATGCATACCGAAATGAAGTAGAACTCTTGATTACCGTACACGTCAATACATCTCAAATTCTGAAATTTAACAATTTTAATTCAGTTAGCTGTAAGTAAGAAAAAAAATATTATATCTATGTTGACAAAAGAGCAAAGATTTTTCAATTCTAATATTCATTGCGAATCTTCTCAATCATAATAATAATGGTTGACATCGAGATTAAGCAAAGACCCATCGTTGATAATGTCATCCCGTCAGGAACTACGATTTCGTCCATTCTTTTGTTATTAGTTTATGAAATACATATTTGTCTACACCTTTAAAACATGGTATGAAAAAAAAAAGATAAAAATTAAAAGAAGAAAAATTAACAAATATAATCAATAATATTTAAAACTATATTAAAAGGAGTACAAAATAAATGTAAAATTTGAGGAGTGAAAAAAATTAGGCCGTTAATTATTTATATTCATCTTACATATTATAATTCCATTAAAAAAACAGCCCGCATATATATTATGATTGCATAAAATTGCTACATTATAGTAAATTATAACATTTAACTGTCTGTAAATAACAGTCCACAGACCTGAAAGGAATTAAAAAATATTTTAATCTTATATATTCAATTCGATATAAAATAATACCAATTATTCATGGTTTGATATTAGATTAATGTTTATTAAGATAAATGTATTTTAACAAAAATTAAATTAATTATTAGCATACACATTATCAGTTTGTACTAACAACATGTTAAAATAACATACTATAAATTATTATATACTTTCAAAATTTAAATTAATAATTTATTTTTTGTTAGACAAAAATCTATACTAACAAAAAATATTTTAACATTTGATAATCTTGTTTGACGATAAATGAGATTTTATTTTATTTTTGCAGTGAATTCAATTTACAAGATATTAAGTTATTTTATCAATTTAATTAATATATTGCATAAAACAAGTAACAAAAGTAAAAAATAAAAAGAATTTAGAGATAGTTATTTCTATATATTTAATAATTTAACATCTGAAGAAAAGGAGGGTTGATAGTGTTACATTGAAGTGTTGGACACGTGGCATAGGGGTTCGGAGGTTGACAACAAAGAAGATGTGGATCGGGCAAAGTTCCAGAGGTCAACGTCGCTGGGGTAAGCTTGCTCCTGTACTGTTGTAGTAGTGTAAGTAGCAGCGTTGTTGTGTGCTGTTGATGAAGATGATAGGGTGGGCAATGGGAGATGATCGTCGTGCTCGCCACTGCAATATCCCATGGTGATGATGGGGGGGTCATTGAAACAACCCAATTGCTCAGATGCCTCACTTTGGCCATTCAATTGGGATGCAACCAACCGATCAAGGGTTGCCCAGTTGGTGAGGCCACCACACCCAGTTGGATGATGAATTATGTTGTGGGTTGCCAATGACCCTTCATTGTCTGTGACCATCTCTACCCGAATAATGGGTTGGTAGTGGTACCCATTATTATTGTTTTCATTATTATCATTTTGCTGCCTCTCCTTGCTCATCGATTTTGGACTGTCTAGGCTTGGGAGTTTCAAGAACTTGTCATGGTAGCCTTCAACACTGAAGGCCCCGTCAGTGGAACACATTCCACTGTTGTAATCATCTTCCTTGTAGTCGCTCCCCATTTGCTCAAATATTTGCTCCAAAGCTCCATCGTCACAAGAATCAAACAAGTTGCTTCTTCCGGTTTCCCCAGCGATGGATGAGGCTAAAGGGCTTTCTAGGCATTTGAGATGTTTCTTCTTCTTGAATATTCTGCACACCACCCATCCTTCTTCCTGGGCCGTATCTCCCATCGCATTGGACATCTAAATAAATTTTGTTACACATGAATTTGCTTTTATTACACGCTTAATATAGCTTAGTTTTAAAAAATAATCACATATTTTTAAAAATAAGTTATTGCTTATTGTGCTAAGTGTGTGTTAAGAAATAATTAAACAACAATAATGTGTTTGTTAGTGTTGCTTACAATATTGGTGATCTCGCTGGTGTTATTATCGTCTAGCCTGTACTCATGCATGATCCAATCGGATTTTTGGCCGTGAGGGGCTCGACCTTTGTAGAAAACCAAAGTTTTTCTCATTCCGATTCTCTTCCCGTTGCTGTATATCACCTTGTCGCGGCCGGTGGCCTTCCAGAACCCAACAGCAGTGGCGCGGTTGGTGCGGGTTCCCGTTGGATACTTCTTGTCTTTGTGGCTGAAGAAGTACCAATCGTTTTGTGGGGTGCTTCCTATTTTGCACTTCTCTGCAGAATGACGAGACATCAAATATCATGTCATGATTCAATTAATATTCCATTATATCATATACATACAGCCATCATCTTCCACATTTGGAAGCAAATCAAAGAAAGAACGAAAGAAAAAAAGTGAGCAAAAGCAGAAGTAACTTTTTGATGAGTGTGTTGATCGAATCATGATCACCTTGTATGTCCCATGGCTCGAGCTTGTTGAGATCAACGTCTCGAATGACATCGAGGTCAATCTTCTCAAAGGATACCTTCTTCCTCAAATAGTACTGCAACAGCTCCTCTTCCGTTGGATGAAACCTGAAGCCTGGAGGGACTTGAGATTGTCCATTCACAGATATGTTCATGTTTTCTGGCATTAAGGTGATTAATTAACATGCAAGAGAAGATGATCTAGATTTTCCGTGGACCCTGTTGGCAGAGAGAATACACTCTGTGGGATGTGTAGTGGAACGGGTGCCTAAAGGAACGCTATATATATATATGTGTCCAGGGATCAAAAGATACATTAAATTGTTGGGTTTAACTCGCATCGATGAATTAATCCATTTTAAGTAGATCAATAAAGTTAAAATGTTGAATTAGAAATTGTATTAATATAAAATTATTTATTTCATAAAAATAACTTTTCCAATGATAAATATGGATGACAGTCACGACTTCTTTGTATTTATTCTGTACATTAAAATAACGAAGAAAGGTGAAGTCATGCATATCATCCATGTCTGCGTCTTCATTCGAACATCTGTTTTGTTTCATGCATTAAACCCGTGCAAATATTATTAAAAATTTTATTATATTTTTAGTTGTTATATTTTATTTTATGCATAACTTTTAATTATTTAAATCAAACTTTTATCTTAAAATTCTATTAGTAATTAATAAAGATATAATAAAAGTGCAATCATTATTAATTTGTATCATATAATAAAACTGTTACAAGATGGGAAGTGAGATCTAGAAGTTTGTTTAAATAAAAGTATTGGAAAGGACATAAAATGAATATAAAAAAGAAAAAAAAAGTGAAGAGTAAAAAAGTCCAAACGCAACAGAAGTGGAAGAGGGAGACAAGGATTGGTGATAATAGAAAAATGTGTGGGGTAAGTTTACTGTTAAGAAAGAAGAGGCACCTACCAAGAGAGAGAGAGAGAGAGAGGGCCCGCATAATGAAGAGTGAGGGCGCACGCTCCCATCCATAACTACGACCCCTGACCTTAAAATCTCCACGGAAGAGGAAGAGATATGCCATGCCAGCCCAGTCAAGCTCTTTCTCTCTCTTCCCCTTTATTCTCTTTCTCTCTCCTGTTTGGAATTGGCAACCACCGCAACAACAACTACAACCAAAAAGGATCATCGTAATAGCTTCATCTATAAAGTAGTACTCAGTTTATCCTTAAAGGTGTACGTCTATACAAATTAGTTTTTAAATGTGTCAATTTACTCACTAAATTATCAATTAGTACATAATTTTATCAATTAAAGGATTCATTTGTATCAATAATCTTCACGCGAGAATCTTGCTGTTTAGACTGTGGATGAAATCATCTTTTTAGGCGAGAGACTTTAATTTTTTAGAACAATGATCGTGTCTGTCTTCTTGGATCGATTTAACTTTCTAAGACTCTATATTTGTTATATTATATGAAAGTTTATAACTTACAAATCGTTAGTTGAATTAAATATGTTTTGTGTGAATGTAAATTGTTTTAAAAATTAATAATAAAGACAGAAAAACAAATATTGAAAGTTTATTTTTAACCAGCTTAATGCTATTTGAAGAAATATTTTACAAACTAAAATTTAAACGTTATTAGATGCTTTTATTTATTTTTATCCAACACATATCTCTGCTGGTTTAATGACAAAATGAAAAATATAAACTTTTAAATAAATTATAAATTTATTGTCAAATATAGCTAAAGTGAGAATAAAAATGCTACGGATTGAATGATAATTAAATATATTTTGGTACATTCTTAATATAAAACTGTTATGTTATCAACTAATTAAATATATATATATATATATATCGTAAATATGATATTTATATCAATTATTATAAAAATTAATAATTTTATATGATAATTTATGATTGAACGTAATTATATTTTTTACATTTTTAATATATTTAAATTAAATTCTTAAATTCTTTTGTAAACATATGTCATTTCATATCGACAGTAAAAAAACTTTTATTCTTTTACTTTACGCATTTTTTTTTTAATCTTTGGAGTAATTGAATCCTACTCTTCCTTGTCTCTATTTTGTTTGTAGATGTATTCCTTGTGTATTTTACACTTTTTTAGGGGGTCAACCTTGTGTGTTTGACCTTAATTAGGAGATTCTGTGGCAGCATCATATATTTATGGAAAGCCCATAATATCCGCTGTTAGCTTCATTCCTAGAATTCATAAACTAGATTTACAGGTCTAACCAAGTCTCTCTAGATCTTGAGCGGTCAAACACGATCCAAGCAATTATAAAAATATTTTAATTTATTTAAAAAAATATATTTTTATAACCTTTTATTTTATATTAATAAATTTTATAGTTAAATTTATAGTATAAATTCTGTATATAAACAAAATTTGTTAAATAAAGCATTTAATTAAATTTTAATCTAAACGTCTCCTAATAAATCAGTTGAAACTTGAATCTACTGCACCCGTTGGAGGTTTATGCACAAAATTTTATCAAATTAATTAAGAGTTTAAATTTAATATATCGTTAGATAAATTAAAAATTATTTCAAATATGACTTTTAAAGTAATCGTGTAAGCTTTTTTATATTTATTAAATATCAATAATAACATCTCTTATTTTATATAATTTAATCAGTGATGGGAAAAATATAGAAAAAATGATGAATATATTCTTTAGTCATGTCATTAAAAAAATTATTAATGTGGCCAATTAAATAAATCAGTTTCTATTGAAATTTTAAAAGTTGGATAAAAAATATTTTTTAAGAAGTTATTAGTTTATTACCTTGTATATATTTCCAAATCCTTTGACTCACCTTACCTGAACAAAACATGTACCTTTTGCAGTTAGTTTTATATATAAATATGAAATATGAATTGTGAATGATATATAACAAAACTCTATTTATTTATGATTTGTATAGCATAATCAGTCATTGGTAATATATGTTTTTAACAGAAATTAAACTTCTGATATTGTTATTGTGTGAGTCTACATTAAGAGTAACTAGTAATGTGACGTAGTGATCATTTATATTAATTTTCAAACTAATGATTTTTTTATAATATTTTTTTCATATTTCCATAGTCAAGATAATACATTATACTATTGCCATAAATTAATAATAACAAAATTAATTTGTCAGTAAATATTTTTAAAAAATGCATAGTAGAGCATGATATTCACGAATTTAAAAAAATTAAGTTAATGGAATCTTATTGCATAATCTATTCCAATTATTTTCTATTTCTTAGAACTGTTATATGGAATCACTTTTAAACAGTGGAAGAAAATTTTTTTCTTGCCTATGTTTCTTGTATGTAATAAAACTTGAGATTAAACGCACGGTTTGGCATATAAATGAGTCGAGACTTTTATCATGGAATGAGAAGTCACTGATATATATCATAATTTCTTACAGGGCTATGAGCAGTTTGTTGAATGTTAACATATATCTTTTGACTTACGTAAGTTAAAATCAATCAGTGTTATTTGAAGTTAAAATCAAGCAGTGTTATTTGAAGCACCACTATCTGTCACAACATCACCAACAAGATATGAACACCGTCACACATGGCGACTGCAGATATTCTTTTGACCGTTTTGTATCAGCAATCAGCAGCAGCCCACGACTTTCTCTCATTCCTCGCTTGTTGTCGTATTTCTCATTTATGTCACATTGTCACCCGTAAACACAACCAACCACCTTAACCTATCTACTTACAATCACTCATGACTACCTGCTTTCGTAATTGTGATATCACTCACTTTCCAACTGCATCAAGATTTAAACTCTTTTTACTTTTCTAAGTCTATCTGGTTTTAATATAATAAATATTTCTAATTCTATCTGTTACAAACCTTCTTGAATCCCAAATCACATTAATAAATGAATTGGAAAATATTTAATATATTTCATTCAATGTTTTTACTCGTTTTCAAAATACTAGTTTTTTTATATTTTGGTAAAATAAATAGTTTGTTTTATTTCTTGACTAATGTCAAGACACTGACATTGGTTAATTAACATTTATCTTTTATCTTTTTAATATCTTTAAAAAAACACCTCATAGCATTGGTGTTCCTTTAATTAGTAAGCAATGTGTTTAAAATCGGATCAAATTAACAAAGATAATAATTTAATTGGGATTGAATCAAAGCTATTATAATAAATAATAAATTAATATAAATAAAGTTTCATAAATTTTTAAAATCTTAAATATAAAAGCAATTCATACATTTGAGCATTTTTTATTTTGATTTTTATATTTTTATTAAATTTTGTTTTGTCTTTGCGGCTTCATAGGTTTATTAGTTGGTCTAGTTTTAAAAGCATTGGTTTAATAACTATGCTAATAGGTGTCTTACCTATTATACAAATAACTTTAGGTAAAATTTTAAATATATTAAAATTAAACTATTTAAGAAAAAAAATATGAACATTTGTGTCTATAATCTATTTAAACAAATATAAACAAAATTGTAACTAGCTAAGATTTAGAATAAATAAATAAATAAATAATGTGAGAATATAAGTAACTTTTATTTTAAGATGAAAATATAAAATTTAATGTTGAAATATTGAAAATAATTCTTTTGAGACATTTGAGATTGACGAAAAAGAAGTTAACGTTTCTTTTTTTGTTGAGAAAATTAATAATTAAAATTCTATAAAAGATGTATAACCCAAGTAATAATGATACAAATTGCTTATTTCAGTGGAAAAAAACTTTGACAGAGGTCATTAATTTTAATATGGAAAATTTTATTTTATAATATATATATATATATATATATATATATATATTGTTTTTTTTCTTTCTCATTATATTATTTCCATTACTTGTATTTTATTTAAGATCTTATTTAAATTAAATATTGAGAAATTCATTAAATATTTTTAATTTTAAGAAAGTATAAAAATATTTTAAAAAATTGAATAGTGCCTCATTCTATTCCGGAAGGTGATTTTACCTGAGAAGAGAACCATACATATTCCACCAGCGTGTCCGCTCACAGATCTATGCGCACAACCTTCGCTAAAGAACCAGAAACAGAAGTTTGAATAATGCAAGTGAGATACTGATAAATGTTAATTCGACTCACCCAATTATTTTAATAGATGACTTTACGGATCGGTTCATTATATAGATTA